TATATCGAGGGTAAAGTAATAAATCAATAACAGAATTTTGACATGTTGTGGTAACCTGACGTGCGGTCGTGTGTACCATAAAAAGACCAGTGCCCTAATTGTCTTTTTTAAATCCGTCGCAATCCTATCATATGTATAGCGACTATCAATGGACATAATAAAAATTTTGTACCTTAAGTAATCTTTAAGTTAAACGCTTGCTTTAGACAATTCAATTAATGTTAAATTAAAGATTTCTTTCATTCAATATCTTAAAAGATTCTCAATTTTTCGTTCGCAACCGCTACCACATTTTAAATAGTTATCGCGAACTTCACACTAGTTCGCCAATATCTTTCAAATTGTACAATTTAATTGGATTGTTATAGATATCAAAAATAAGCCTCATGTTATTAATATAATACTTATGTACAAAAATATATCTGTGAAAAACTTTTGGCTTTGTGAAAACCATTTTTTCAGGTGCTTCCGTGTAATAGTTTTATAATAATGTGTAATTTCGTTGTGTAGCTTTCTGTAAACGTCAGTTTGGGTCTGCCCTTCAAGAAAACTTGAACTCAAAATGAAAGTAATGCTTATTTATTTAAATTTTGATATTTATATAAAAAAGAAATAATACAAAAGGCGTCCTTACCGAACTCCGCTGTCGATACCGCACAGATAATGGTAAAATAATAAAGTTGTGATATGCTATAACATATTGTAATCAGTTGTACAACATTCTCTAACGTTATAACTGATGTGTGTGCACACGTTAGTACAATAATTAAAAGCACATTTTTTTGTACTGTAAATACATGTTACAATTAAATTTTCAAAATGGCTTTGACTGTTTTCTCGTACAATAAGACGGCGATTTTGCTGAAACGAAAATTTGCTCTCGATATAATATATCTAAATATATTTTTGCTCTAGTCAACATGATAACAATGAAATTAAATTTTAACTATATTTAAGACACATATTTTGTACTATCAAACAATAACGTCTTATCAATAATTATAGGCTATCAAACTGTTTTAAAACTGAATGTATCACGGTCTATCTGTACCTTCATTCCTGCAAACCATTTGTTATTTCAGTTTCATTTTAATGATTCGATCAAGAGCTAGTGTATCACCGCTATTGTTCCGCATAGCGCTGTCCCACTCGCTGCACGGATTAAGCATTGCTATAAGACGTAATGCCGCATATTCCTGACTGTGGAAAATGCAGGAGAACCGACCGCCACCAGGCACGGTAGGTACTCGCGTGTTTCGCTGGTTGTTGTGTCTTCTGACATTGACACATGCGATAATACATCATGAATTTGATCATGAAGAAAGACTTTCTGGCTTCTAAATGTTTATATTTTCTCGATGTATATAAATTTCGTCTTTGTTTCATTCGTAATTTATCGTGATGTCTGTGTCAACGGAGCATGTTATGTCATGTTTACTTTTGTACCGACGCTATGTACCAAGATGTATATATTAAATACTTCTAGAAGATCTACTTCTATGGCACAGTAGTATGCTACTATTAGTTACATGTCTAGAATATTATTATAGTAATATTGTACTTACGATCTAGAGATGGGTAAATATTAATAAGGCTATTGATTACAAAGTGTCTAAATTGACTAACGATTGTACGAGCGAACTGCGCGATAGCTCTGTGAATGTTTAATGCTTTTATTTCCTGTCATTCATTCATTGAATACTGATTTTTTATAGATATTTGTCATAAGCGCAGTGTTATCAAACATTTTATTACCCGTAAGGTATGTGAGTATAAAAAACAAGGAAAAAAAATTCACAGAGTATAGGCGTTCGCATATTTTATATACGATCGTCGTCGGTTCAGATGACGAAGGTAATTAAATATTCATTTACCTGATTATATGTTGATCATCTCAGGTGATAACATTTAGAAATGATTAAGTTTTGAACGTGTCGTGATCACCAAACTTTTAGTTTAGTTTCGTTTTGGTTAAATATTGTAATCGTTCCAGTTACCAATAAAAATAAATTAGTTTACTTATTAACGTTCCGTTACCAAATATTAATTATATGCTTTGTTTTATTTTTTTTGTTTAATGTATTGTTTCTCCGTATTTGTAAGTGTATATAAGTCTTCCCTAATTAAATTTGCCTTGTTTTATTATGTACATATGTAAACGCCGATGCTGCACTGAAACCCGACAATTACTACTCGGATAAATTAATTTTTTAATTACATATCAAAGTCAAAAATGTCTATAATTCTGACATCTGCCGTTCTATATTACGTTCATTGTAATTATAGTTAGTTTAAATTTTGTATGCCTAATTTTAAAACAATTAATTTGACAGCACTCACCAGTCCAACCAGCAAATGATGCATTTACTAGTGATGTTATAGAGTAGAGGCCAAGAGCTCTGATTTCTCTCTCAAAACGAAGAATTCTAGATCGCTGTGAGAAATTCGGTTTTCATTGCATCCGGAAGTTGGTGGTGTTTGTTGACTTTGTTGAGGATGCATATTAGGGAGTCCTAAAAATGTATCCTCTGCGATTCTCACCATGGAGTCTGTAATAGTGGACGCTAAACGTCAAACGCCTGAACAGACGTCAGAGATATCACAGACATATCCGCACTCGACCTCCTACCCACAACACTAGCCAAAGTCACATCTCTAACGATAGATGCTTTATTGGCTGGCTAAGGATCTCCCGTCTCAGAGGCAATCCGGGCTAAGGAGACTTGTTAATGCACCACTTCAATCACAGCACTCGAGGACACCTTTATATCTCCTTATGAATCTTTACGTACTGCCTTCATTGGATAGTCAAAGATACTCTGCATCAGATCAATGAATCGATCTCGGCGGGTGCTGGGGTGGGTGGGAGCAAAGAACGCTTAAGTCGCAAAAATTTACGATATTTCTCCACTTGTTTTGGTGCTAGCTCGGTCGTTGCGTTATATCATCCACTTTAATTTTTGGTCAAACTTCATTATATTATTAAATAGATAGTATTTATATAGGTTAACGTAACTTCATCAATAATATCAATATTTAATAATAATGAAATTTAAAAAAAATATTTTTGTAATGGTGAAAAGGTCTTGAAATTCATTGTAGTATTTAATGTATATCGTCTACATCATATGTACTATTGAATGTGATTTTATTTGCTCTTATTTATAGGTACAAATGTATACCTTAATAATATTGTAAATAATTGCGTTTTAATATTGTTTTTATTCAAGTTTAGATAAGATTGTAAAATAAATTGTTCAACGTTTTAATACTTATTTTGTTTAATTTATTTCTCACTTGATAATCCTTAAAGCATTTAGCGTATTAGTCGTAGTTTTTGGAAGTTCCATACATTGAAAATCAAATTATTATTCCTTTTAAAAGTATATCTAAATTTGCCGTAGGCAGATAAAAGTTAGTGTGTATGTGTCATATATTTTATATTTTTTATATTAATTTTAGCTATGGTAGTTGTTGCGCTTGTAGCTATTGTATGGATACTTTGCGCTGCAGTAACTAGACTAACGGCTAGTTGCACAAACGTCCATTGGGGTTTAATGACACATTTAGCCTCTACTTTAAACTAATGACTAATTTTAATGAACGTTAGTGTAACTGGCTGTAAAATACCTACAGTGAAATCTGTGTATAATGACATTGAAGGGAAATTAACGTTATTCTCACTCGCTACTCATACTAGAAAATTTACAACTTCCAATTTTCATTTAATACATGTACCTAGTGTAGCCATAAGTTCATTTACAAAGAAAAGACATGTTAACGTACTAGACTAATTATTCGAAGTGTCCACCCTTAGCTTTAATGCACGCTTTTAAACGGTCGGGCTTATTCGTCGATGGATTTACGAACGGTTTCCATTGGAAACTTGGTCACTGCTGCCTCCAAAGACTTCTTGAGCGACTCAATATTTGGGTGACGCTTAGAGCAGGCCATGTCCTCTAGCACAGACCACAATTTATAGTCCAAAGGGTTTAAGTCCGGACTAGCCGAAGGCCAACCATCAGCCTTTATGAAGTCTGGAACGTTTTGTTCAAGCCAAATTTGGGTAGTGCGCGCTTATGACCCGGGGCTGAATCCTGTTGGAATGTCCATTCTTTGTTTTTGAATAAGGTGTTGTTGAGAGGTTTACCTACCGCTTCTAACACGGTATTTATATACACTTTGGCTGAAGTTTTCACTTACTTTACCTTTACCTTTTTCGCAAAAAATGGAGTTTTGTAACTCTTTGGTAGGAGACATACTCCACCACACCATGACGTATGCTGGATGACGGCCTCGCTGAGCTTTGGCCACTACCTCGGAAGCTTCTTTAGAGCTGTGTGCATACACTCGACCATTTTGTTTGTTGTAGCGCTCCTCGATTGCATAAAATTTTTTCTTCGGCAAAGAGATTTTTTCTGTGTTTTACGTCCGCGTATCGAAGTAACGGCTGTTTTGATCTTTCGACTCTCTTTTGTTTTAGTGCCTGATTTAAGGTATGTTCTGTGTATCTGTGGTAAGCCTCTAGACCAAAGTCTTGTTTTATAAGCCGACAAAGTGTCCTCGGTAGGATTTTCTCTGAAAAGGGTTTTCTGCTTCCTTATGGGACTTCGAGGAATTCTGGCCTCGACTGCATTAACGGCCTGCTTTGCTCGTATTAGACCGCGGCCGGCCGTGGTCTCTCACGGTCATCAACAGACATGGTTTCAGTGTACCTTTGGAAGGTACGATACACAAACATTTGGCTAATCCCTAGCTTTCTCAATGTATCAAAAATGTCGGTTAGCTCCTAACCTACTTTGTACAGTGCTGCAATCCTATTTCTCTTTAGGTCCCCACTCCATTTTCAAAACAAATAATTTCTAAACAAAAAACTTACAATAATAGCGGCAAAGAAGTCTATTTTTTTATCGTAGAAGCTAATGTTCGAAATTCAAGTTAGTTTTTTTGATAAACGGATTCTATTGTTTTTGTGAAATGAAACGAAAATACTATATATTCAAATTCTTTTATTGCGGAATAAAATTTTTACGGTCAAAAATATATCAAGTTATATAAAACAGATATGTTCCCCCAAACGATTTAACCGGTAGTAAAGTGGTAGTAACATTTTATCCAAATGTTATCAATTATAAAAGGAAAGTAAATAATAAAAATATATTTTGTATTTCATTTATAGCTATATATTTATAAAACATTTGGATGAGTATTACCCCTGGGGGAAATAGTTCGAGGGTAATATAGATCGACTGACCGGGTTTAAAACCTTTAGTTGAAATTCGATAGGTATATTTTGTGAACTCTGACGAGTAACTTTTATGTATAAAATGGGATATTGTAATTCATTAAATACTAATATCGACTGATACAAAGATATTGGTTTGATATAAACATCAATTCTAATATTTCCATTTTTATTGTTTGTTGCTACAAATTTAAATTTTTTTTACATCCTCGTATAAACAAATATATCAAGCTTCAAAATCAATTTTCTATAACCCAATATGTTGTTGACTGTATTTGTTCAAACATACCAACATGTATACTGACGAGCAAAAGTTCCGGGTCACTAAATAAACCTTAATATCTTCCAAAACATCGAACATAGCGCATTTTATAAGTTGTAGATGAAAGAAAAAAATGATGTGATTTTTTTTACTAATCTTATAATTAAAAAATACCGTTCATATATTGAGAGTATTCGAATGAACTGGAACTTTTTCGTCACATTATTTGACACTGGAAAATGACGGTTCTCTGTTTTAATCTTAAATCACTATTAGAATACTAGTTTAATCGGCGGGACAGACGCCTATTTGTGCGGCTCGGCCGGCTGCCATTAGCGGGATAGTAACGGGCGCTTCCTTGATAACGATATTTCTAATGCAGCCAGTGAATCCGCGGCGGGCGTGTACACCTGGCAACTTGTTTATTACTCTCTCGTGTCCGCCGATGAATAGGGGTGTCTTAGTGTCCGTAGAGCTCGACATGCCGATGCCCGCGTCCGAGAAATGTCCGTCCACGCCCACAGTTACAGCGTGACGGGACTTAACGGCTGTTGGATTGGTAAAACGTTCAATTATACTCTTAATAATAAGAAATTTATTATCGTTTAGTTACACGTAGCCCTATTTACGTCATTCCAATGTTACTTTCAGTCCGAGTGAAAAAACCAACACTTAGAGATTGTTGTCGCTATACAATTTTTTTTGAGCAACTTTGTTTTTGAGGGACATAAAGCTTTATTGGAACGTTACTAATATCGATAGAATTAAAGATGAAACGAATCAAGAGTTGAATTGCATATTTTTTTTACAAGAAAGTCTTACCGTGAATTCGGTGCCACTTGCCGTCGCAGAGCGTGAATTTGCTGCTAAGCGTATAGGTGGCCTGAAATTAGAAATCTCATAAGGAAATAGAAATTTAATGATGGAAGAATATTGAAAACCCCGCTGTTTGATATACTTAGAGGAGGGTATTATTATAAGTTTTGTTAATATAAAAAAATATCTACCTTATGATATAAATAAATATAAAAATATTGTATGTAGTTGCTCTTGATACAACTTTTAAAGTCGTTCGTGAGACAACTATGTAGTCGTTTTTGAGATTACTTTTATATATTACTTATTACGTTAGATTAGATCAATTATTTCTCACTCTTAAAAGGTATGATGCCGATGATGGTGGTTTATACCTGGAAGGGTCCTTTCCCGTTCTCGACTCGGGCCACCACTTTGTGCTCGAGCAGTTCCAGCACCAGATAGTCGTGGCGACCGTGGACCGCCAGCAGTAGACCTGTAGTGTTGCGCGGCTTCACCTCCATCGATATTGATATCTCGTTGCCGACGTTGAATTCACCCGTTTTGTATAGCTGATAAAGTTTTATAATAGTTCTATAAATTATATTTAATTCGTCAAAGAGATAATATAAGTTATACTCACGCAGTATTGCGATGTCATCGACGAATTTATACATCATACTCTAGAGTAGATCAACTATACTACATAGTGAGTCTTGTTTCAATAAGGTGTAAACTATACCACAATAGCTGTTCATCTCGCTTACATTCAGCGGGGGGTTATGCGCGTGGATCATTTGATGCATTTGCCATGTTTTAGCTTTCTGCTCAGGTACATACATCAAATAAATAAATAATATTCTGCTATTTTACCTTAATGTAGTTGCTATGCGCCTCGTTAGGTGACGGTGGGAAGTACACGCCGTCCTCCACGTTGTCGATGCATCGCAGAGAGTTGACGCGCGCGCGCACGTCGGTCACCAGCTGACCGTTCATCTTCAGTTTGCGTAAACAGCCCTTGAAAGGCTGGTAGAACTATTCAGAAATATATTTATGATTGTTTGACTTTAGATGAGATACTGCTACGTATAGAAATTAAGCCTAAAGGTGGTTCCACACTCTTGGCAAACAATTAACAATAAATATAAACGCATAGATGGGTGTTTGTTGTTTATCAGTGATCGGCGTCCGTGTTGTTTTTAAGCATGAATCAACGGATGTACGGTTGTTTGTCATAATTTGGCACGTATTTGTCATGGTTTGGCACTTGTTTGTCTCGGTTTGGTGTGTGTTGTTCATGGTTTGCACGTTTACTGTTGTTTTATGACACAAAAGTGTAGTAGCACCGACCGGTAGATGGTGGTTCCCGGCGGAGACGTTTGCCCTCAGTCCGCCGTAGTAGAGGGGCGGGGTGAGGAGGGCGGGCGCTGCGCACGCGACGCTCTCCTCCGCCACCCGTTCGCCGTCCACGGTCACCTTGCTGTGCCCCTCGCGCCGCACCACCGTCACCTGGTGCCACGCCGCGTCGTTGTACGTCTGCTGCCACGTTATGTCGGCGGTCTCGCCGCCGCAGTTGAATAGGAAGTGCAGCTGTTGACGACATATTAATTAGAAATACTCGGACGCTGACAAGCAATAATGTTTCAGACCTTATAGGCAATATGGCATCTAAGAATGAAGCAACGATTTGTTTATTGATAAAAATATCTAGATACGTTTTATCGTCTCTTTTGAAAGGCTAACGTAAATTAAAAGAAAAGTGGTTAAAAAAATGTTGCTACTTATATTTAAAGAACTGTATCCAGAAGAGTTGATAATAAATAATTGTTGTCGACTATATCGTCGTATGACTATAGTCTTTAAATACATATAAAAACAAATATGAATGGGTTATATTAATATACCTACCGTAGAAAATAATGTGTTTTGAACAAAATCTTATTTAAAAAGCAAGCGATTTTTTAAATTTTTTCTTACGTACAGCATATTAAGTTGTCGTTGATAATTGATTTTAAGTATTTTAACCAACAGACACAATAATATTTAGAGTGTATTTTATTGTAACTCACCATAGCATCCTTCATGTATAAAGCGATGAACTGCGAAGGCGCCTTCTCCGCGACCGCGTAAAGTATCAACCCTCCATGGCGGTCGAACGTGCGGAAAGACACGGACAGATCGAACCCGCCGACCTGCCGGCCCGGCAACTTGCCGTATTCGATACGACTGTCTTCCCGCGACCCTAATGGATCAAGAGATTATATTATAATATTTTGATTAAGAAAATATTCAATACATGTCAAATACGATGTACATTATCATCGTTATCTTCAATCCTTTAACGTTTCCACTGCAGGAGCTCAGGCCTTCCTAATGGATGGTTTCTTAACCATGGGCAATTTATGATGCAACGGAGGTAGGACCTGACATTGCCTCTGTCAATATAATTTTAACAAATTTATAAGAATGATTCATAATACTCCGAATTATCGGTCAAAGACAAATCGAATAAGGCCCTCGCATGAGTTATAGAATAAAATAATTTCGTAACTTTAGTTAACTAATTGAAGCGCATTCTTACCGAATCTATAGCCTTCATCCGGATTGCCGATTGAGTATTCGGGGTCGTAGGCGAGAGAACATCCTGGCACTGGTTTCGGTGGCGGGCGACGAGTTGTCGTCGATGGTGGTAGTGTCGTCGTATGCGGCTGCGGTTGCGGTTGTGGTTTTGGTTGTGGTCGTGGTTGTGGTTGTGGCTTAACCTCTGGTTGTGGTGGTTGCGTCACTACCTCGGGGAATGTGTTAACTGTTTGATTGGTAACAATAAATTATATGTTAATGAAATTTAAATATACAGGGGAAGATTGCTAACATGGACAAGGGCATTAGAAATGGTAAAATTGTGCTCAAGGTAAGCTGAGTAGTCCCTTAATAAGCAGCAGTACATTAGATAGAGATAGAGACTGTAGTCTTTTTAATATCGTGAAATTGATTTTGAACTCTACCCTCAATTCATTAATGCATAAATTGACGTGCCGACTGTACTTACCATAAATTTGTGAATTTGTGGAGTAACTTTTAAAATTAATCAAGACATTTTCAATAACTTGAATTTGCAAATGTTGGGATGCATTGCAATAGATTTATATATGAATATTGCTATTGCTTGATTGTCTCTATTTGATATTGGTCTCTATTTGACTATATATTAATTTAATTTAAGGTAAATTTAAGAAGAATTTTTTAATCGAATCAACAGCTGTATATCTATCTATATTTGTGTTCTGAAACTTACTATTGTTGAGGTTGATATCTGGTTCAGGCGTTGTTGTTGGTTGCGGGGGTAGTGGTAGCAAGTTAGTTTGTGTGGGCTGTGGCACCCAGAATGGCACGTCTGAAGAAAACGAATATATTATTGTTTGATAAAAAAGTCATTGAACCGCTTCTAGCGTGTAATTTATTAATCCTATTATATTCATAACTTTATTGATTTGCGAGTCAATATTAACCTAGTACACGTGCAAAAAATATTAAGACAAAAATTGAGCTTGTGCTAGCTTGATATTAATCAGATTATTATTTTCGTACTAAGGGTACAGTATGCAACGGTAGAGTTTCGCAACTGTTTTATACGATTATAAAATCACCACTCCTTCCTTTATTGAGTGAGTCCAGTTACCTGGTGGCACGCCTCCAGAGCTGGTGAGATCGCCGCATCGGCCGAACGTGACGCCGCTAGCGCTGTACGGCTCTAGAAGGTTCAACGGACGCGAGTTGACCGTCACGTCGGCGACGCAGCCGCGCAGTGGATGCTTGCTGCCGACCTTCCCGCCGACCACGTAACCGTTCTGCACCCCGCCCACGAACAAAACCCCCTCGATTATGTGGAGGGGCGCGGGCGGTGTGTCTGAACTGCGTGTGTCGAAAAATATGAGACATAGAAGCAGAAGACAAAAAACAGAAACGAAAAGGATAGCGTTTCGTGCAAAAAATAACTGAAAATAACAGTTACGAAAAGGAATAGCCGTCTTTTCCTTTTCATGAAAAATGAATGAAAAATTTCATGAAAATGAAAATAATTGGCCATAGATAGATTTCACAGCTATTACAATATCGCCAGATGAGTGAATGAATCGAGTTTCATTTCTATATCAGCTCTACACAGAATTAAGTGGTAACAAACAAATACAAATTAAGTTTTCTTACAGCTTCACCGAAACAGAAATCCATTTTGTTTTATTATTTTAATTTTAATATTATTTTATTCTTCGTTACGCGAGTTACGATAGTGTTTGCTGGAAAAAAGCGTCACTAAAACACAGTTTAACAGCGTTGCAGAGTTCCGTACCCAAAGGGTAAAACGGGAATTATATTATTTAAACTTCGCTGTCTGTTTGTCACCAGGCTGTATCATGAACTGTGAAAGTTAGATGATATATTTCTGTTGCTGCTTCAATAACAAATACTAAAAATCAGATTAAAATAAATATTTAAGTGGGATCCCATACAACAATCGTGATTTTTTTGCTTACTTAGCCGATTTTTATTATTTTCCTCTCATTATTTTTATCCATTAAAAACTTTCCTCTGACTTCAACAAGAGAAAGAAGAATAGCCGATTTTTTGTAGCAGTTGTTCTGTCCTACCATTTCTTATAATCCACAATATATTGGTTCTTACCTAAAGTAGTCAAAGTCATCGACTACAAGTCGTAATGTGCGACTGTTGTGCGTGACGGTGACGACGTGCCACTGTGAGTCGTTGTAAGTGTTTAGTCCAGTGTCCAACTGATCACGCTGACTCATCAACACTAGACGACCTGTACGGAATTTAATGTTATCTTTCAATTAATCATCAAATCGATTAAAACCCACCAAAATGATAGGTCATGTCAGTGAAAACAGCCTATTGAAATCAGTTGCTTCTTTGAGGAAGTGTAAAATCCTACCACACACGGCGAGTGACAGAGGTTGAGTATCGATGATTCTGAATCACATTTTTTCAGCCTAAGCTGTTACAAAAATTATTTTATTTATATGATTCCATTTTAACTTACACTTTCCTTTAGAAAAAACATTGTAATACTCACCCTTTATTAGTGAGAGTGACACGCTGTCAGGCATATCGGTGGTCTGCGTTCTACTCACGTAGAGGAATAATAGACCGTCCGGAGAAGAGGTCTTGAATTTGAGCGTCAGTTGCAAGTTGTCCGTCGTTATATCAATGAAGCGTAGATAGCTGTCGCTACCCGACAATGATACCAACGACGCGAACTGGAACAGGTTTTAAAATTATTAACTGGTCCACAATTATCATTCGTGCAATCAATTTCACACCCAATATAACCCGAAGTGACAATGACCGTCAATTGTTTTCAGACGGCACAGTATCGCCTGGATACTTTCCGTATTCTTTTGGAGTTCAGAGCAAGGGCGGATCCACTGTCATGGGGTGCAAAAAAAGTTACACGTCGCAATTCTGATGAGGTCAATTTGCCCACTAGAAATATCATCATCATCATCAGCTATTACGTCCCCACTGCAGGGGCTCAGGCCTTCCTTATGGATGGTTAAGGAGGATGGGCCATGACCCTCCACGCTGGCCCAATGCGGATTGGAGGGTATTAACGACTGCAAATGCAGCCGGGACCAACGGCTTAACGTGCCTTCCGAAGCACGGAGTAGCTCGAGATAATAATTTTTTGGTCACCCATTCCGTGACCGACCCTTGCGAAAGTTGCTTAACGACTACGATCACGGGCCGCGGCGCTAATCCACTACGCCACCGAGCTACTCACTACTGACTAGAAATATGCAACGAACAAAATCTTGATCACCGTGACATATTTTGGGAAACATCTCCTGAATGCATTATTGCAATTGGCCTGTTTTCGGGTGGTTGTGATCACAATTTGTGCTGAAGTGATAGAAGCTTTTACTATGCGGTTATACCTGTATTTCAATGCAATGAAGATTTTCCCGTTTCTATGTTTTAGCTGCTTAAGCTTTAAAGAAAGTTTACTATTTGTCTTCCTTGAATATTTCAAAGGCTTTTATTTGAATTAACTTTCTGGATTCACATATAATTGACCAACCTGACATCCGTATCCTAGTCCAATTGCTTCTATATTCTCGCTGAGGTCTATGTTGATACCGTCCATGCTGATTTGACGCAAGCAGCCATCGAAGCCTATATTTTTCACGTGCATTATGCCCTTGTTGTTCCCACCGAAGTTCATCGTGTCCACCGAGGTGATCTCCATGATAGGCGAGGAGGAGACCGCTCGATGGATTTCATCGTCCACCTTGGAAGAAGAACAATTTTATCGACTGATCTCCTTATGGTAACAAAATGTCATGGACAGTTCAGTTTGGTGTCTTGTCTCATTTAATGTAATTTGAGTAAACTAACCTTGAGTGAACAGTTAGCGAGATAGCGACCGGCGTCCAGTTTGTGCCATTTGCCGTCGTTGAAGGTCTTCTTTGTCCCTATGATCACCATTTCATCAGGATTGCCGAGAGACACCTGTGAAACAATATAAGAGGGTTGGTAATCAAATACTCTCAGAATAGATATTGTTGTTTCTAAGAAATCTTTTAATAATCAGTCGGTTATTAGGAGAAGACATTTTATTTCGCATGACGATTTCATCAAACACTAGGATCTACTTCACGGCGCTTCAATTGCATGATGTAATCTAATTAACATTAACAATGATTTTGTTTACATGTGGTACATAAAGGTTCAGAAAGCGTATAGGGATCGGACGTGGTTATCTCTCTAAAAGCTGGATGAAGCTGGATATTGTTAGCTCTAGGAGCAACGGTCTCATCAATATTGGCTATTCAATTAATATTTCAAAATACTAATATACTACCTGTAAGAAGACTCCTCCGTCTTGCATGACAACAGAGAAGAAATGTTTGCCCTCTCCGACCAGGTATATGAGTCCGTTGGGGGCATATGTGCGGAAGTAGAGAAGTACGTGGTTCTTCTGCGGCACGAGGTATTCGCGCGCCGGCATCGTCACGTGGGAGCGGCCGTTGAAGCGATACTCTTGCGGTCCGGCTTGTGACGTGATCAGCTTATCTCTACACATTCATTTGATAGATAAATGAAGCCCATATCTTTTGGAAAAATACAATAAAGGAATCTAACAGGCTTGTCAATGAGACGAATCATGGCTCGTTCCGTAAAATACGAGTGAAACTGTGAATACAGAATAAATTTTTGAGAAGTGCTAAAGAAATACTTATGTATATTATGAAAAGGAAATATTGGATTGTTTGTTTGCCTAGAACTACTATACCGATTTTAAAAATTCTTTCTCTTATGAATTATGTCATAGGGTGACATAAACGCTATAATTTACAAGGGCGAGGTTTGGGGAAAACAACTAGTTTATCATATTTTCCTACCTCTGTCTAGAACCCTTAAGATTTTCGGAGCTGATGAAGTTCCAAAGTCCAACAGGAGTATCTCCTATCATGAGCTCTTCGATCTGACCCTCAAAAGCAGGGTAGCTAATGCCTTGCAGTTTGGCATCTGCCGGTGCGCCGCCCACGTATAATTTACTCTTCTGACGGTCCAGGTTGAAGATCGTATGCTGTCCAGGTAACACTGCCTCTTTGGAGTGTGTATGTTCTGAACCGTTGTCAAGGCTCTCCCGAATGGAGAATTTAACGTTTCGTCCAATCCTACAAGCAATTAATTCATCTAACAAGGCCCAGTCTTTATGAAATAGCGGTTGATAACAACCAACACAAATTCAGGTTTGTGGCAGTTTTGCTTTTTTTTTTATAAATGTACATTTGTATTAAAATCTATTTTGTGTTATTTATCAACTTCCAGTGAGAGTAAAAAACACATCAGAATAATCGGTTGGTGTAAGAGAGATAAGAGGAGGAAGTAAAAGATCGTCGTGGGCTCAATTGACAACGGTCTCGAAACTCAACGTCATTTAAATTGAGAGCAATAGAGATAATATCATAGCTGTTCTATTTATGTGTTATAATGTATTGTTATTGTTTGATTTTGTCCCAAATACCCATATTCTGATTATGCGAACTAGTCTAGGTCCCAATTAGTTGAGACGAGAGAGATGCTACTGTATAGGGAATTTTCTGTACTCACCTGTCAACAATGACCTGGTACCAGCGGTTATCTGAGACAAACTTATCGCTTCCGATGCGTACCGCTTCGCGACCAGAGTCGTGACTGTCACCAATGTCCATCGTAAGGTAAGGGTATCCATTTTGAATGCCCACCACCATAAAATCGTCCTATAACAAACAATTGTTTATAGAATGGTCCTGACATTTCATTTTACAGCTATAAAAAATTAAAAAATAAGTTTTCATAGCAATATTCATATAAAAATATATAAGGCAAAAGTGGCTGCTGATGTATGGCAAAAGTGGCTGCTAAATGTAAATGTAATTGACCGTCCCATAAATAAATTTCAATTCATGTAAAGAATATACTTATGAGTAAAGGCTATTATAAAGTTGATGATTATTTTAAGGACCGCAATGCATGGAATTAATAGCCTTCGCTCTGTTCTATAACGATTAATTATAGGTATGTACCAACCTATGTCCTATAGACTTTGAAACCTGTATTTATTATTGTTCAATATATGTATTATTTTGGTAATGACATGATTTATGTAAATGTCATTATTTATGATAAAAAGCTGGTAAGTTTCTTTCGCTTGTTCTTCTTGTCAGCTAAAAGACGTCCTGAACAAATGGTAGGGGAAAAAATATTTTTGGACGATTCTAAAGTGCTTGTAACAAGCTTACTTGAATAAAAACATTTTCATATCAGTGAACAGAGCAAACTTCTAGACTGACGACGAAATAATTGTTGTTATGATGTCGAGGCTTTTGTAGTTTCTGAAGTCAACTTTGTATAATTCATCATTATGGTGAGTAACAGTTGCATCGTGATCTCCGGTTACATCCAAATTCTACTTACGCTTAACGATTACTATCTAAAGTAAAATATAAAAAAAAATTAACAATATCGTATTAATATATTTACCGATTTGGTTCGCCTGATGTTGCTACCTTCAGGGTTGCCGAGGTAGAGTAGTAGTCCGTCCTTTTCTTTTGTACGGAAGTAGGCAGAGACGTGAGTAGATGTAGACATTTCGTCGATAGACTCCGGCAAGCGCGGTTGTAGAGTGGAGCGACGGTCGAACGTCACGCCTACTTGGATGCGATTGGCTAAAGCGCGTGCCTGTACAATGGAAAACAGAAGATTGACTGAATAATAATGCCGGAGTCATATCCAGCCATGGTAACATGTATGTTGCTTGTCCTCATCGATGTCCTCAGGGTCTGCGCCAGAAGTAGGTAAAATCATAGTTCTGGGTGCCGGCAGAGAGGTTTAATCAATGTTTTGATAGAAAGCTAAAATTTATATATATCGCAAATGTTTTTTGTACCATATCTGGTGTGGAAATTTGTGAATTAAATTCAAAATATTAGAGGCTTCTGCAAAGGTAATTCTGAAAATAACAACCTGTTCAATGAGTTCCTTGAGCTTTTGCAGTTTGTCGTCAGCTTCTGCACGTCTATGTTCCAATTCATCTTGCATAAATTTCACAGAACGATACTTAGAATTGCTGAGTGGATCGATTTCTTTCACATTCTTCACTAAAAAGAAATATTTAATGTTAAGCAGATATTTTTGCAACCATATAATCATAGATAATAATAATGTGCAGTACCAAAAGACCAAAGACTTATATGTATACTTGACAAGCTGTTCTTAAAAATAAAAAAGACTATGTATACTCACACAAACTCTCAACGTTAGATGTCATTTTCTGGCCTTCGTCAGCAAGTTTTGGCAATGTCTGAGCCCAGTCTTTACTGGCTTGCAGGTCTGGACCCAGCTGGGACATGATGTCTAGGGTGTTCTTCACAGTCGCGTTCACTCTATCCGCTTTCTCTATTTCTTCTTGGAGGGAGAATTTTGCCGACGTCGGAAGAGAACTGGTAAATGTATCAGCATTTAAATTTATAGCAAATTGCTTATTATTCTCCACTTGGATATAAGTTTCTCAACCAGATAACTACTATCAATCTATATTTTTGTAAGGTAGGCTGATTTTCTTTTTTTATTACATTTTAATTAGACAAAAATATGTAATAAATAATCGATGCTTAATCTAATGTGAAGCAATCGCCAGTAGAAGCAACCAGACTGTAATAAATATGAATCTCACAGTTGCACGGCGTGATCATCATCGTCAGCAGCAGTGAGCGTGGCAGCAGCGTCGTCTAGTGCTGCTGCCGCTGTCGTCAGGTTCGGCCTCAGCTGGTGCTCCACGCCGATCTGTGCTGCCGCCGCCTGCGACAGTAGCATCTGCGACCGGTTCAGAGCTGGCCCTCCGCGCTCGTTGAGTAAATTTTTCTGAAGATAGAAATTTGTCTTGAACAGCAGTATGTATGACTTTTTTTACAAATTCGATTGCAAAAATTGCCTATAAGAAGTTGACCAAGTAGAAGTAACAACATATCAGGCATGTCAATCAGAAAAAACTCTGATCTGTCGAATTATAGCTTTAATACCATAGTGTTTAACGTGGTTGGTTTGGCGCATTCAATGGTGATGTAAACTCTGTAAGTGAGCCTAATTTTCGTAAGGTTAAGAAAGTTTCGTAAGGTATTTTGTTTTGGTTTTTAAATTTTTATTTCTGTCCCTAAATACTTACGACATTTGTGCTATTGTTGACGGCGGCCTCCGCAGTATCGGCTGCTTTCTTGGCATCATTAATCTCTTGCACAATGGAAGAGAACGCTGAAGCAGCACTATATGCATCCTTTGTACGAGTATTGTTATTTTCTCTCTCAGCCAATGCACGTAGATTATCAGCCTGTTATGATATGATATGGTTTTATTAATTCTTAGGCATTAACAATATTATACGTAGAGTGCGTAATGGTACATATTTTGTTACTCCATTATTTGATATTGTCGAGGTCGTATTCTGAAATCTAATTTTTAGAACCGTGAGTGAAATTGGTTGGAATATAGGTCTGTTCATACTAGGGAGGCGTAATGAATATTTATCAAATGTCTGCTTACCCTATTCCTTAAACTACGCGCATGATCGAGTGCCTCATTGACCAATCTATCTAACACTGGTATTTCTTCGGTCAAACTGGTAATTCTTTCATCCATATTGATGTTGGCGTTTCTATTGGCTTCCAAAGCGTTGACAGCAGCGGCCACTACACCAGTAGCCTTAGAGTATTCATCACCTGCTTGCTTCACATCTACAGCTGCGTCGATCAGGTCCTTCACCGCCGACGTGTACAGATTGGATACGGATTGCACTTTGGTACCGAATTTGGATTGCCTATAGTATTGAAAAGATTGGAATTTAAACATAAATGTTGGTTTAAGTGATACGACCACGACCAAGTTATTTTATTCAAAGAAATGTCAATGTAAACCTAAAACTAACTCGTAAGTCTTAAATGAATCGAATAAGGACAATGTTAAACCAAAACTATCGATCACCAATTATTAACAGACGATGTTTATAATACTAAAATTATTTATAAGTACTTGTACCTACATGTTTATATGTTACTGGTTGTATGTTGTTCTAAAGAATCCAGTTCGAGAACTAATAAGAGAAACACAGACAAGGATAACTAACTTACTTATCACACTATTAATAAGTACAAAAAGGACTAACGTTATCTATATATTTTGCAGTATGAGTTCTAAGCTCACCTGTTTTTGGAATTGAGTTTCTCAGCTGCATTGGCGGTGTGCTGCGCCTCATCCGTGTATTTTGATAAGTCTTTAAGTTTGTTCTTCAATTCGCGTGTGGCATTAACCAGGCCTTCAAATTTCTGTATAATACGCATTAAAGAGATTAAGAACTAAGTAGTTACCTTATTGGTCAAAATTTACGGGTAATTGGAAAGAAATAATTAAGCTTACGTATTGTAGAATGGTGTGATATAACAATTGTCTTAGCGTGTACAAATCTAGTTAAAGGTCAAGTCAAATCAGGCTCTTCTACTGAGTTCCCAAATTCTACATAATTAGATCTGTTTTGTATTGTTTATCAAAATTATCTAACTGATAATCTGAGGTCCCCTTTTTAGTTACTTTAAGTTTTTTTCTTACTTATTATGCACGTGAAATGTAAGAAAAAACAATGATTATCAAAATGCATATCTAAGAAATTAAAATGTTTATTTAATAAAATAAGCAGACCTTTGCCTGTTTGTTGACTGGGTTCACGAAGATGTTCATCCGTTCTATTTGAGCGGTGGAATTACCAAACATACTGTTAGCCTGTTGCTTTTCGTTGTCCAATTTTTTATCTGTTGAAATAAGTTGGAAATTATAAATGCTATAGACTAAGAAAGCATTACTAGGGCACAACAAATACCAAATGTGTGTTCACATTATTTTTATTTTATCATAATTTATTTTCCTGCCCTTCAGATTAGATAAAACTGAAAGATGTTAGCTATTTACGTTAAGCTCATTGTGGAAATGAAGTGCAATATAGCCTCAGCAGTGGGGATTTAATCGGTCGATGTCGAATAAACTTTACCAGATATATCGCTCTTGATCTGTCTTGCTTCAGTCAAGGCGCTGTCTACTTTCGGCTGTTGGCTTAACTCCAGTCCAGTGGCTAGATCTGCCACGTGCGTCACCACGTCCTCTGCTTTTTGCGCGCTCTCGCGGACCGCCGCCAGAGTCTTCTCTGCGTTCACCGCTAAATCAGCAGCTCGTCCTATTTGTTTGTCACTATCGGTTGCTGCAAACTCCGCCTAGTTGTTTGTCATGAAAAGAATTCGATCTCTTAACAGAATTTATTTGTATATCACTTGTCCTGTCTTGCCAGAGTTTGGGTGTAAGAAAGAAATGAGATTCATGGTATTAATATATTACAAACTTTTGCAATTTAGATTAGGTTCATAAAAATAATATAACATTTATTGCGAATTTATTTGGACTATCTTAAATGATAAATGATACCGTCTATTACTCACTGATCTGAGCAGGTTCTTGGCACCAGTTTCAAGCGCTTTGAAAGCTGAAGTGACATTGTTAAGGTCCACACTCTGAAGGTCAACGACGCGAGGCCTCAATATATTCGTCTGGTTCGAGATGTAGTTAAGCCGCTGCGTCGTGAAGAATGAATCCGCTTTGTCCTGGAAAGCGCAGGAATATATTGCATAAAACGAACAAAAGATCATGATTCTTATGAAATGGAAAAGTAGTGGTAATGACTTATAAATCTATAGACATCATAAGTCACGAAGGATAAGGATAGATAGTGACTCCACCCTAACCCAACCTTACTTTTATTACATTACTTAACAAATTGACTCTTTATTTAATTAAAAAAAAAACTTTTTTGTTATTATTATTAACAATTGTAACTATTTAAACCTCAAAAATTGCATATACACTATTTTAAATTTACGTACCTTGAAATCTTGTGTTTCGTGTGCCAACAAGGCTCCCATATCTTGTACTGTGTATATGAGGGCGTCGGTACACTCATCACATTCTAAACACCCTTCGTGAGGTATTAGTACCCATCTAAAGCAAAAGATCATATGTAAAGATATATTTTGATCTGACCGCACCTTACTATGAATCTACTTGGTGTTAGTCTAGAATTGAAAATGGCGTAACGATTACTCACCTCTCGGGACAGCGGTCACATTTTTCACCAATGACGCCAGGCAGACACTCGCACTGGCCCGTTGCATTGCACATAAACCCAAGTGAATATCCCGTATTACAGTTGCAATCTACATAGTGACAATACAAAATTCATGTTAATCGGGTGAAAGTTATCTAATAGTTCTGTAAGAGTCTGTTCGGAACCCAAAAGTGTATATTACTTCAAACTTCAAAAATTCGAGAGTATGATTGATGTGATGAGATTTAAATGTTGATATGAGTGTGACAGGTAGTTATAGTGATTTCGATATAGGTACGCATTCATAATTTTAGGATTGATTAAGGACAAAGTTGATTGACCAAATGGTCCTTAAGTATCCAATGGAAACTTATATAAAAAAATCGTTTTTTATTTTAGTAAACCATCAAAAATATTGTAATTTAAATTCCATACTTCGGTGGGCAATTACTTTTTCAAGTTCTACCTATTTGGAGTTAATCAAATTACATACGATCGCATCCTTCTTTAGTGTAGTTCCAATATCCAGCAGCACATTGTTCGCAGTGGCGCCCCGTAACGCCTTTGGCACATCTGGAATATAATGAATTGTATTCGATTGATTAATTTAACCTCTTTAGAAGTCTGAATTATGAGCAAATTTTGCCTCAGGTTAGTAGTAATGATGAACAAGTTTATTTTGAAAGTTGCTATTAATACGTATGATAATGTTGAACGGACCTGCACTGCCCCGTGGCATCGTCACATTGTGTTGAGTTGGACGCGAGGCCGCAGTCGCAGGGCTCGCAACCGCGGCCTGAGCTCAGACCCCAGTGGTCGACAGCGCAACGGTCACACTTCTCACCGATCACACCCTGTCGACACACGCACGTGCCCGTCGTCGGGTCGCAATGGTCCATGCCGTACTCGTCACAGACGCAAGCTGAAAGTATACACACTGTTAGCTAAGGACCATATCAAGATGTTGCTCGAGTAATCTAAGTTTGGTGTCGTGATCGTGACGCGCTGTGATTGGTGGGTGACCGTATGCGTGTATCATCTAGGTGTGAACGTATTATTTGGCATATAATTGTATATAGTGTAGTTCGTTGGTAGAAGCTCAACAATTAACGCTCTTCGAGACAATTGACACTGAGCGTGAAGGCATGTAGTTGTAATATTATATATATTATGTATGATTGAGTGTTCTAGATGCGTGTTAATTAGATGATAATTATCATTTAAATATTTTTGTTTTGCTTCAAATTATTGTAGTGGGAATTAGCGAATTGTGTTCGAGTTTGCATTGTCAGTAAGCATACAATTTGAAAGGTTTCAAGGAAATTGGTTCAGTGGAATATGCTTCTGATTTTTCTAAGATATTTGTCTAACTTCTCTCAAATAAATGTAAATGATATAATAAATGTAGATATTTAAAAAATAGTTTAGCAGTTACCTGTACAATTTTTGGAGAAAATGGCGTCACCGAAGAAACCTGGTGCGCAGAGATTGCAGGCTGCTCCGGCTGTGTTATTGACGCACTTGAGGCAGTCGCCGGTGATGCTGTCGCACGAGCTAGGATCCTCCACGTTTATATTGCCCGAGCAATTGCATGGCTTGCAATAGTCACCTGAACATATAATGAACTCAATCACTGTGTATTGCTTGAGCAAACTTAATAAATTTTGTTATATTTAGTTGAATCTGGCGAAATCACAGCTACTATACAAATGTTTGTTCCTTCTGCTATATTTTTGAAATAAACTTCTAGTTAGGACAATTTTGATTTGTTTATTGATTGCGGGAAGTATATTTAAGGATAGAATCCGATAGGTTTATATATGTAATAATTTATAATTTTGTCTGTGTGCTACACTCACCTGTCATCTCCGGTTCTCCATAATAGCCGGCGGCGCAGAATTCGCATCGGGCTCCACCGTATCCAGGTTTACATTCACAGGAGATCAGCGAGCCATTCTCACTCAGGTCGCAGCCGATAGCGAAACTATCATAGAGGAAGTCGAAATAAAGTTCAATTACAGTGGGAGTAAATCATGTAGCATAGAGTTAGCACTTTAAACAATTTTTAGATATGCTATATTTTATAGATAGAATCTAGATAATTTGGTATTTATTTTTACTTACTTATTGGAAGCAGTGGGCATAGGACAGGCACAAATGAGGCAGTCACGCGGTGTGCCAACAGTAGCATCACCATGATACCCTTGAATGCACTTTTCGCAGTGATCACCCATAGTATTGTGTGTGCATTCCTGTAATAAGATGAAGGTATATTGTCAATAATCTTCGAATGAGACTAAAAGTTTTTAGAGATTCCAATATATAAAGGCTTTGTATCATAAAATACAAATAAAAAAGGCCTTAGTGAGTTAAACAGCTTAAGTAATCGTGAACTCTTACATTGATATTGTCCTTGCAAATATTGATTAAGATGGTTTGCTTCACAGTTTAGTCTTAAGTTCTAAAAAATATGATTAATCAAATAAACTGCGAAGTATAACCTACCAAGCAAATACCAGTATTCACGTCGCACTCTTGTGAGTGACCATTGCACTGACACGGGACACATAATCCTGCATGTGGCCCGCTACTGAGTCTATAGTATCCAGCTGCACATTGTTCGCAAGACATACCACGGTACGCTTTCGGACAAATACATTCTTCCACTGAAACAGCTCGTTTAGCCCCCTCTATGTAGTCTTCAACAGCTATGTCTAGTAACGGACTTTCTAGTCTGTGAGATGAAAAAAAAAATTAGAGACTGAAAATTAATGGGAAAGGATTGCGGTGTTGGTAAAAAAAAACGTTATGGTAATGACACATCCGAAAATAAATCCAGATTATTTTCGATTGGCACAAGACACGGACAATTTGGCCAAGCTGAAGTCAAACCTCCAGTAGTGGAAAAACGGTTATGAATATAGTCGCTATAAACCATTAAGTAGAGACTGAAAATAAAATACATTTAATCTATATTACTTATGAGTACGTAGTTTATAACAGAGTAGCTTTTCGCTGCCTCTACACTGAGATCTTTTAAACATAATGGAACAACAAAATGGAATTTAATGCGGTATTCATCAATATACGGAGTGATTGAAGAGGAAATTTTATATGTAATGATAACGGATCATTCGAACGAAGCCGCTGGCGGAAAGCTAGTAATAAATAATTTCAAAAAGAAACAGGACTAAGAGACAACTTGCACGCAATGCTTACCTTTTCTTTTTCTTTTTTACCGAGGGGAACTGACCTTAACATGCCATCGACCTTGATGAGAGGCCGACTGAACCCAGGCTCTCCTGCTGCGGAGGTTAAAGAATCCCTATCTACAGCAGGCCTACCGTGCAAAACCCCCCGTATTAACCTCACAAGGGTCTGGGACCTGGTATCTGGCAAGGAAAACCCAGGTTACCCAGACTATATAGCCCAGACGCAATGCTTACCTTGCTATTAATGATTCCTCCCAGTAGGTGGCCCTGATGTAAATACTAGTGACATTGAAGAGGGTGTTCATGAACTGGTCCCTAGTGACGGCAGTTCCGTCGAGATTAGTGAACTCTTCTTCAGTGACTAGGACGGAATGCATCCAGTTAACGAAGGAAGGTGGCTGCTCCACGCTGTTATGTACGATGTATCCATTAGGTCCACCAATAATGACGTCAGCGGCGGCGATGGCACGCCCAACTTCTAGATTCTCATAGTTGATCGTGTACATGAGATAACCACCGTAGGCGGCTAAACGTTTGCCTGCGAGTTAATTGATGAATTTATGAGTTTGAAAATACCTGACTAAGAAGTGTTTTCAAATTTCCTTTATTAGATTTTTTTTAAACGTAATGTTACAAGAGTAGGGGTTGGGTTTCGATATATTTATGTATGAATTACTAACTCCTAAAAATACATAATAACATATCTTGGCTAAAAGCAAAGATATATAATGAATTTCTATAGTTGTTTTCTATTGTTCTATAGAAAACAATCAGGGTCTACAGATCAAAGTGTTTTCCTGAGCCGAATAACAGGATTATGGGAACCTTTATTCAAGCTTAACTTCCGCTATAGCGCCTAGTTTTATCTTTATTTTATTTTTAAATTTTGTTTGTTTTGGTTTAGCACGTTTTATAGTTCTCACCTAAATAATAAGCAGGTGCAGAGAAATATACGATTTGATTATTATTATTGGCATTTACGGCGTCGTTGAGGTCTGCGACAATAGTATAAGCGTTTGCAATAGTCGGAGCCGATGTGTACGGACTGATGTTTAAGGTGCGATTCACCTCGATCACTACCAGGGACCAGTCAGTCACGCCGCTGATCTGTTGAAGGAGATTGAATGTTTTAAAATTAATTTTAAATTATCATCCTATAGCAGGGGTGTCAAACTTTATTTTGTAGAAGGCCATATATTTAATTTAAAATGTGTAGGTGGGCCAGATTTAAATAAAAAATGCACTGAATTAAACATTTTATTTATTTAATTTTATAGTACTATATAATTAATAGACGGTTGTTAAGAATTATATAAAAGAAAGTTATGATTTTGAACTCGAGGATCCAGATAACTGAATTTTCTTGTTTATGAAAAGCTCATTGATATCAGGTATCATATTCGATGTAATTATCGGAATCGAATGAAGTCTAAAAGCTATAAAAAACATGATTCTTCTTTGTGTGACACATTGCGATCGCGGACCTTATTGATACTGTCCGGGGACCGGATGCGGCTTGTGCAGTGATAGTGAATTACAAAGAATATCTCCAGCGTATTTCTAATATTTTCATAAATTACTTGAAGAATATTAATTAATACTTACTGCAGACCAGGTTAGATAGGAGCTTGCACATCTTGTTGTTTTCCCAAAGCAATAGCACTTGGTGCATCCATCTGGGTTTGTCGCTTGAAGGTTGAAATATTCTTCTTTGCATTCGTTGCACGCCTGCGAAGTTTTAACGGTAAGTTATTTGTAATAGGAGAGAGCGAATGAATATCCGTGAAAACTCTACCATTGCCGTAAAATAAAAAATTGTGTGAAACTAATTGGATATTGATTAGCTGATCTTCATGTGACCTAATTAATGTACATCTGTAGCACCGGAGGAGTTCTACCTACAGGCAAAAAAGAAACTATAAGGGAATCTAAAGAGAAATGGTCTTCCTTTGTGCTGGGTGTTATTGCTCCGGCTACTGAAAGCCAACTCGTGTAACTTTGAAGTTACGAGTTAGTAATCGGTAAGGTAGAAAATGGTAAAGGAGAGGTAAATATGTTAGTAGTAATTTTGTTGCAGGCTTGCACAATCTTGTGACACATCCGCTCATCAAATTTTAAACTATTAAAAGAACGTACTATTCTAGTGAAACCCTTGTATGTATTATAATTCATTATTTGATCTATCTTGATATTGCCCATCCCATCTCGGACACTTGGACCTGGTAAATATTTGAATTCTTTTTTTTAAATATTTGAAATTATTATATTTGATCCATATTCAATTCACAATTCTATACTGAAAATTATTCTTAATGAAAAATACTTATAATAATCTCATCTCTGAGTGCCAGGGACAAAGTGGATTTTTTAAGCGTTTTTCATTAAGAATAATTATTATCTGGATTGGTAAAAAAAATATTTTTATGTAAAAGCTTAGAATTCCTGACCTGACCGCGGACATGTTTTTTGCAGTAACACTGTGCTGTATTCTGATCGCAGACGTCGTCTGTGGTGCCGTACGGGTCACAGGTACAAGGCAGGCAGTCAGGGAACGCGTAATGTCCCGGCACGCAGTGGTCACAAACGCGGCCGATTACGTTTTCCTTGCAACTGGAGAGGAAATAACAGATATAAAGCTGATCATGAGTTAATAAATCATATTGTAAATATCCTTAAAAATCTAGAAGCTCAATGGCGCAATGGAGGAGATTACGCAACGTTCGCAAGGTCTGGTCATTAGATGGATCACCAAATTTCTCTTCTCATTTAGGCACGTTAAACCGTTGACCCCGGCAGCTTTTGCAGTCTTTAACATGTCGTGGTGAGTTAATTATAGGCATGAGCGTAGCAAAGGGACGGAGCAGGCGAGCTATGCTCACCCTAGAATTTTCACTAGCAAAAAATATTGAGAACTCCAGGATAAGCACCAAGAAGTCAAGGACCCTTAGAAACTGTTTCTAGATGCGCTCATGGTTATTGAATCTCGCTGTCTCTATTTGATTCTATCAATAGGATAAGAAAGGATAGCTTTGGGGACATTAATAGGGTGGTACTAACGCGCAGTTGCCGCTGTCCGGTTCACACTGCAGCTGGTTGCCGAGGACACCGAGCGGGTTACAGTTGCAGTCGTCGCAACCACGGTGCACGTCGAAGTTGAACGTGAACGGCTTACAGCGGTCACAGTTCTCACCTTCCACGTTCTTAGGGCAGATGCACATTCCTAAATAGACGAGGAGCATGTTGAAACGTTTAGCAGACCGACAGACATGTCCAAAATGTAAAGTAAGGAACCGTCAGCAAATATTATACCGAAGCACTGTAATCTATTTGAAACGAAGTGCACTTAAATAATATTTGCTGTCTTACTTAGTGCGCATTTCTATATACGTAACAGTGCGGTTAATTGTAGTGAAAGATTTTGTTTTGCTGTTAAGACATTTTATATTTGCAATTTTTTGAGGCGTTGACAAATGACAAACGATTGAAAAATAATGAAGTCAGTTCAGCTTACAAGTTTTAATGGATGATAAGTTTCATTTATTCGAATAATAGTATTATTGAGTCACCATTATCATCGCAGACTGCAGTAGATGGGCAGTTGCAAGGGCGGCAGTTGGGGAAGCCGTAATAGCCTGTTTTGCAAACACTACACGAGCGGCCGATCACGTTTGGTTTGCATGGACACTGCCCGCCGAACACGTTGCACTCCAACTCAGTGGAGCCCATGAAGTCACACAAGCAGGATAGTGCTCCGCTGTTGTATTCCGCAGTTATAGAAAACATGGAGTCGCGGCAGAAACCTGAACAATATAATACGATGTCACATTATCAGCCTATCAATGTATTCATTGTTGTATATAACACATATAAATAAGATCACGAAATAATTCACGAAGTAATCGTAAGGTATAATATAAGTAAAGTACAGCTAAAATGGCTTACTATAAAAGCGCGCAAATGTCAACGGATCAGCATAATCAAGTAGCACGCCACGGGTTGTTCACGTGCTTGACTAACAGACCTAATGTATTTTACACCTTATAATTATTAGAACACAAATGATTATAAATTTGAATCATTGGTGTGGTCATCGTCGAAATAGTAGGTGGTCTGTGTAGATAAAAAGATTCCCCATGTGCCATATTACTTGTACTAAGATTTAGGTACTGCGACCAAAAGTATTGGCCTAGGAGTTGTCATGTTTTTAAAGAGACATCCATCAGATAGATTCTGTACGCAGCTGTTCCGGCGTGAAGTACCTTCGCACCTTCGAAAGGATACCAAGCTTCTTCGCTGCTAGCTGAGCTTTAGACTCAATGTATGAGCCAAAATTGAGCGTTGAAGATAAAGTCACACCAAGAAGGTTAAGGTGGTCCCTGACCGGTACGCTTACATCCCGAAATGCGGGGGCCAGCTCAAACGGCCTCCTTTTGGAGGAGAAAAGACAAGTATAAAAAAAATAATGTGTAACAAATTACCTTTAAATATTACAAACAGAAACCCTGGTACCTTTAAAAGTATTCTTAAATCTTTTTTTGAGCATAATCCTCTTTATTCCATAATCGAATTTCTGACCAGAATCTACTTTCATGAAATTTAATTTTGAATTTGTTTTAACGTACTGTAAGATTATTTATTTTTTATTTTTAGACATTTAGTTTTAATTGAAGATATGTATATATAAAAAGGACACACTATGAATTCTGAATCACCAGCCCTTTTACGTCCCCACTGCAGGGGGGGCTCAAGCCTTCCTTATGGATGGTTAAGGAGGATGGGCCATGACCCTCCACGCTGGCCCAATGCGGATTGGAGGGTGAATTCTGAATATATAAATTAATTTCAATTGAAGGTATTTAAATATGCATCTTTAATTACTTTATTACTGACTAACGAAGCCAAAAAATAATTGTATATATTTTGTAAGTGAATCACTGTAATATATATAGCACAAGGCCTGATCTAGGTATTTTTAATATTAAAATTGGCCATATTTAGGCGACATTTCTCTTTAAAGAAAACAGTTGAAGAATTTTACCGCCCTCATTTTTGCGGCTATGGACAATTCCCTGGCCTATCTTCCTAGATATTATTGAATGAATTAGTAACACATAACAGTGTTAAATACTCACGCAAGCACTCAGGATACTTGTAGTATCCTGGTGAGCACTGATTGCACTGTTTCCCACCGAAGTTAGCGAGGCAATTACACTTGCCGTCCACCGAACAGCTGGTGGACGTGGACCCAGTGGATGAACAATCGCACGGCACGCACTGACGATCACGACCACGGACTTCCATGTAGAAGCTGGTGTTAAGAGATAGGATATTATACAGCCACTATCTTCAGTCTGTGAACTTGGATAGTGCAATGCATAGATCTATATACCTACTGATATTGTAAAGAGAAAATAAAAATTTGTTTGTTTGCTTCAATCGAATAGGCTACGATTTTACATGACCAATTAAAAAAAATCATTCAATTAAATCGCATACGCGGACTACATAGGCTATAATTTGCGCGGGTGAAGTCGCGGTAGTAGTAAAGTCGCGTTTGGTATTCAATATAAATAAACTGAAGTCAGAAAATAGGTGCGTAGTTGAAAAAAATTAATTCCCAAACAAGGAACCACTAATATATCGATTTATATGGTATTTTTAGGAAAGGAAAAACAGAACCCTTATAAGATCACTTTGTTATCTGTCCGTCCGTCTGTCAAGACCCTATTTTCACAAACGCGTGGAGATATCAAGGTGAAATTTATATCAAATACTCAGGTCCGATGTCAATTTGAGCTATGAAAAAAAAACAAACCTCTATGTCAACACAATCAAAAGAAACTTCAATTGAAGCCGTATATTATAGCGGTATAAGTCGACTAGAATCTTAAAATTTGGCTTGAAAGGAAAAATTTTGAACACCTTACATTTTTATTACATCGCAATATACTGACGAACTACTTTGTACGGAACTCTCGGTGTGCGAGTGCGACTCGTACATGACCGGTTTTTATTTTAATAAAAAGACTTAATCAATCTATTGCTAGAGAAAGAATGCGTGCACACGATCGATACATCGCGTAGTCTTAATAAATCAGTTGCGATAGAAAGGTTTTTGAAAATTTAAGTTTTTTTTACTATGTGTACTTCAATCTCATGTAGTTTGAACATAAACAACACGTGTTCAATAATATGTATTAATTCTTACCCAGACAAACATTGGTCACATCTTGCACCTCCAAATCCAGTTTTACATATGCACTGACCAGTGACGTCATCGCATATAGCCGCCTGTGTGCCGCTCACGTCGCAGTTGCAATCTGAATTATTAAAATTCTTAGTAACTACTTTATTGCCCAGTAAAATATAATAACAAATATTATTAGAAGAATACGGCCTTTTTGCTAAGGTAGCAATATCTACCAGGTTACCCTTGGTTAAAAGAAACTATTCCGATTGAGTAAAGAGACTGCGGGCTAGTGTATTAAAGAAAGCAGAATGAGAAAATTCATAAAAGTAAATATATGTACTAGTTCAAATGAAAATATTTATACATAATAATACAAAACAGAATGCAATTTGAGGAAGATGAATCTAATTTGAGGAAATATTCCTTGATATATTTAACAATGGACTCTCGTGATTGTGCGCATCTGATTATTACCGGCAGTGAATACCACAGTTTAATAGCTCTGATATAAAACGACTTGGCTACAAAATTTTTAAGATATTCTAGTGTTTGACGATTAAAAAGAATAGAATAGAGAAGAGACAGAATGTGACAGTCTCTTCTACGAGAGATAGGTAGCCATTGAAGTTGGGTACGATAATTAGAACTTGCGCAGACCAAAGATGAAAAGGACACATAAATTCAGAAGTGGCTCAAGCTTATTTAGATGTATGACTTTTAGGTCAGAATAACAGGAATAAGCATAGTCAAGCAGTGGGAGAAGCAGGGACTGCACAAGAGTGATTTTTGTCTTAGTCGGCAATAGATTCTTAAGTCGTTTGAGCAAGCTTTATGCACTTAACACTTTCCCACTAACCTCACGAACGTGATGGCTCCACTATAAATTGCAGTCAAAAACACACCAAGATTTTTAACGTTGTCTTGAAATTGTATTCGATCGCCATTTAAGAAGAGGTGGTAGCGTATTATAATTAATTCTGTCTAAATACCATTGGCTTCTAACAATTATCGCTTGAGATTTTCGTGGGTTTACTACCAGACCATGTCGTCGACTCCAATCAGAAATGTGCTGGAGATCTGCTTTAGTCGTGGCAATTACCTTTGACAGTCCCTCTATAGGTTCTTATGTACTCGAATGAATTTGGAAATCATCTGAATACATATGATAGGAAGAAGATAGAGGAAGAGTAATTGAATTATTTGAAGTGAATAGGAGAGGAGACAAAATGCCACTCTTCGGCACTCCAGCAGTTGTGTCGCACCAATCGGAGAAACAGTTTCCACACTTGTGCGCTGCCATCGCTCGTACAGGTAACTATGAAACCAACATTGCTACCAATATGTCAAAGTCCATAGTATCATCATCATCTTTTAATTATTGACCCCATCGCTGGAAGTGACTTTCTATATATATAGAATCAAAGACTGAAAACTGGCCATATCCAGCTCTGCAGATGCATCTAAGTTGGCGTTAGTTGGACTTAGTCGCAGAACCATAGCCCAGTATACTCAATTACCTATTAATAACTCTAAAGTGTCGTCTAATATAATAAATGAATAACATAATAGCAACTCACGTTTGCAGGACGGATAGTCGTAGTATCCTGCCTCGCACTGGTTACACGTGCGACCGGCGTATTTACTCTTGCACGTGCAGTTGCCAGATATTTTGTCGCACACCTGAGATACGGAGCCCACGGCGTTGCATTCACAGTCTGTGGATCGAATCAAAATAGTGTAAGCTAAAAGAAACCGTCTCTACGAGGCTGATGTTATGATCGTAATCTGGGCTCTCTTTTACTGAGCCGCCGCACTATGAACCGGAACTGTGTCCACCGTCTCAAAAATAGGTTTTCCGAAAATTAGATTTCTATTAATTTGATATTGTAAAAATCTAACGAAATGTCCAATACGTCTTCTGGAAAAAATTATAACTTTTTATTTCTAAATAAACTTTACGTGAAATTACAACTTAAAATAATGTTGATAATGTAAAAAAAAAACCACAAGTTCACAAGATCATATTATAATAACTTTTTAAGGTTAATAGTTAGAAAGCTTATTAAATAGTTTATTAAAAAAATATAAAGCGCTCCATTATATGGAATCAAGAAAGGCTGTTTTTTGTATTAACCATATTTTTACGCCAATTGAAACATTGAATAGAGTTTTGAGAGTTAACAATCTACCTGTACCGTTTTTTAACGTGTGTCTTATAGAACACATTATGTAGAAAATGAGACTTTTTTGCCCGAATTCGCTCCTTTTAAAATGAGAGGATAAAATATTTCATTGGGCCATATAACTAAAAAACCAACATTATTTTAGTATTTATTTCTGTGTTGTGAGAAAATAGACAAAATAATTATTTTTTATTTTCATATTATGTTGTATTATCGCAGTATGAATTACGTGATGTTCTAGAACTGCATCCTATGCAAGGTATCATCAGTCACTATTTTAAGGAACTGTTAGATCAAACTGTAATAGTTAACAGGCGTTAGACATGTAAATAATTAATTACAAAATTTCTCTATCATAATTTTGTTTCGGATTACTGGACAAAGGGTTCCGTACAGAAAATAAGCAAAAAACTTTTTTGTGTGGGAATTAAATATTTATTTTATTTCGTTTTAGTATTTCTTGTTATAGTGATAATAATTATTACTTGTAAATATAAAAGTAATAATTATTGCCATAGACAATAGTCTATGGCAATATAAACTGTGTAAATATCACGGTTCGCGAGATACAGCCTGGTGACAGACGGACGGACAGCGTAGTCTTAGCAAAGAATCCCGTTTTTACTCTTAGGGAACGGAACCCTAAAAACTAAATATCTTAAAAATACTTTAGATTTTTTAAGCAATTTTTGAAAGTATTTTAAAGATAATTAATAAGATAGCGAATTTATAATAATAATATTTTTTTTTAATAATTAAGTCAAGAATTATATATACTTATATAGCATAACAATAATACATATGTAATATTATATGAAACTGAATATGTAACGATTTAATAAATTATGAAATATAAATTTATGAAAAAAATAACATTTTTTTTTTTTTTTTTTCATTTATTTTGGTATCAAACAGTCATTTACATAACAAAGTGTGTATGATTAAATGTGCTTTAAATTACAGACCAATAGTACCTAAAAGTTACATTTTTTGAATCAAATAAATAAGAGAATTTACATGATAAGACACGCATACATATAAAACAAAAACATTCGGCAAAAGAATGACTTTGTACAATTATATACTTACATTGCTCTTAAGAAAACTATCTAATTACATAGCATATCTTTTAACTTTGTCTTCAATACAGAAATTGACAAATTAAAGAGATCAAGCTCGGAGAATTCTTTATTATAAATGTTGGTGGAACGATAAAAGTAAGAGTTTCGTGTATAATTTTTATGCAATTTTGGAGGAACAAAGAATGATAATTTACGTGAGGAGCGCACTGGAAGACGAATGCGTGCCAAAAAGGAGACTTTACTAAGAAGAAAAGATGAATCAATTTGTGAATTGAGAATTTTGAAAAGGAAAATAATATCAAACATTTTGCGCCTATTAGAAAGGCTTAGTAGTTTGTATCTGGTCAAGGCATCGTTATATGATTCATTTTGTATGTTATTGCGGAAATTCAGAGTTTTAATGAACTTTTTTTGAATTCTTTCAAGTCTGTTGATATGTTTTTGGTAATATGGATTCCAGATGATGCTACAAAAGTCTAAAAGAGATCGAACGAAAGAGAAATACAAAATTTTTAGAGTAATTGTTTTGCAGAATGGTTTACTTAGTCTTAGTATGAATCCTAGACTTCGAAAAGCAGAATTCAATATATGGTCTATAAGTTGGAGTCCATAATTACTCCTAGGTCTCTAATTTTAGTCACACGTTTGATTACGGTACCTTCCAATGTGTATTGAAAGTCAAACTGATGCTTTTTACGTGTATATGTCATTATGAAACACTTCTTTATATTCAAGAATAGTTGATTTGATGAACAATATTCCTTCAACGAATCCAGTCTTCTTGAAGCATTTTACAATCGTCATGGGACTTTATAACTCTAAATAATTTTGCGTCATCAGCATAAAGTAAGTGTTGACTATTTATTGCATGTCCTATATCGTTAATATATAAAGAAAAAAGCAATGGGCCTAAATGCGAACCTTGAGGAACGCCGGATGGTACCGGAAGAAATTGTGAAGTATACCCTTTGACACAAACTGCCTGAAACCTATTTTTTATGTAAGACAACCCATCTAAGTAGATTGCCGTGTATACCGGCTCTTGCTAACTTGTCAATGAGCAGACAATGATTAATTTTATCGAAAGCCTTAGAAAAGTCGGTATACACGACATCAACCTGTGAATTATCATCCATTGCTTGTAGTAAATAGTCAGTAAATGTCGCCAGATTGGTTTCAACACTTCTAAGTTTAAAAAACCCGTGTTGTTGAGGAGATATATAATTACGAACCGCAACAGCGATCTGGGACGTTACTATTTTTTCTAAAATTTTACCCAAAACACACAGCTTGGATATTGGCCTATACTCTGTTAAAATATCTCTACTACTATTTTTTGGAATAGGAGTTATCAAAGAATATTTCCATTTCGCAGGAAAAACTCCTTTCTCCAAAGAAGCATAAAACAATATGGTAACAGGTTTCGCTAGCTCTTTAGCACAATTGGTAATGAGAATTGGATGAATACCATCAAAACCAGCCCCTTTGTTGATGTTAGTACATTTAAGCTCTTTCAAAACTATGTCGAAGTTTACATTTACAGAATTCATATCAACAATTGAGATACTATCTTTGCGGATAGTGGTTTCTGATGAGAGGCTCGATGACGAAATGAATATTTTTGTATTTGAATTTTATATATTATATGTTAATTAATAAATGTGTTATTTTTTGATTCTCTCTACATTAAAGAGACCATGTGCTAAATTTCAATTTATTATTTGAATCAGCAATAAAGTTACAAATTTTTGAGACGGTAACGCAAGGTTTTGGCCCGTTGTGCGCCATCCGGAGATACAATGTGACTGGTGAATTTTTCAAGTATATTTGAGATAAACTAGCTGGCATCGTGAATTGTTTTTGTTTATGATATCTACCTGCAAAGTGGAACATTTCGACATTGAAAAATACTATTTTTTGCAGTAAAGTTTGATTTTCAACTTACTTTTACACTTCGGCGAGTAGTATCCATCAGCGCAAGTATTGCATGAGTCGCCGGCGTAGTTGAACTTGCAAGGGCACTATAAAAGTAGTTATTAAACCTTAAATTGATTGTTCTTATTACAAAGAAAAATAAATGGGAAAAAGGTATCCAACTACATTGGTCGGTGCAAATTTAACGAAAAATGCGTCAAGCGTTTCACTGAAGTTTTATAACGCGACATCGAGTGTGTAAGATGTCATTTCATTTGTCAGTTGACTGACTAATCGACACATCTTTGTACCTACCTTAAAACGATGTCTTAATCCAAGTGTAAAAGGTTGTAATTCTATTAAGTAAATTGCGCGAAATTTACAGCCAAAATCACTAGCGTATAACTATGTGAAAGAATTTTCATGATCGGATCAGTATTTCGGACGATTACTTCCTACAAATAATAATAATAATAATGTTTTTTATTTGCAATAAATGGGGTTTTATATATAGTGATGATATGACAATAAAGTTACGCGTCATGAGCCACAAAGTTACGCGTCATGAGCCATAAAGTTACGCGTTATGAGCCTACGTTCGCCAACGACAGACTGTTTTTAATCGGTTCATATTCATACTCACAATGCCGTCGTCTGGTGTACATTGTGCACCTTCGGTTCCGTTAAGGTTGCACGTGCAAGGCTTACAGTTGGGGTAGTCGAAGTATCCGTATGCGCAGGAGTCGCAGTTAGGAGGATTGAATTCGACGCGACATTCGCACCTTCCAGTTTCCTCCTCGCAATTGCCCGTCGAGAAATGTGGGTCGCAATCACAAGCTGTAATTAAAGTTTTTAAGTACTAATCGTACGAATTAACACGACACCTGAAGGCGTATTCTATTTTTTTTAAAACGCAATTTTGTCCACTTCCGAAAAGCTGATATGACTTCAAAAAACACGTTTCGATTATTTATGATGCAACGGAGGTGGGACCTAACATCGCCTCTTATGCTGTGTCATGTTAATTTGTAAGAGTTATATAGTTATATTCTTTTAGCATCACAACCATTTTGATCCTCTAAACATATGTTACGTCAAGGTTTAGGATATTGAATAATATGAATGAGCACAGTAACTTAACGGCATTTTAAGCTGGGACTCGATTAAACGTTCGCTGCTCAGATATAGCTGAAAAGATAAATCCACTTACAGTGCTGTGCTGCTCGCGTTTCAGTCGGTATGCGTACGTTAAAATGATTATGTGTAACTTTATGCGGTTCCAGACTTTCAAAAACAGATTTCGTTTTAGGAGGATTTTGAAATTATCTACCTTAATAATGAAATAGACTTTATTTTATTCATCACACGACTAAGTATTATAATATTCGATAAAATTATTTCTACAATATATTCCTTTCCATTTTTATTTATAGAGTGCTCCATATATTAGGAACTTTATAATTAATAGAACACAATGACGCACATGATAAGGAAAAAAAAGATATAAAGTCTCATGACATCTCTACAACCGGGTCATTAGATAAAGTTAGCTGAACTATTATTATTTCACAACCTATTTTAACGACCGTATGTGAAATATCAGTAGGTACACTTCGAATGAATAATGACCTAATAGGAATAAGAAGTTCTGTTGACTGCCATTTCAAGGACCACGCTCATTAATGGAAAATAAACCCAGGGGGAACGTTACAGGATGTAGTGTTTTTGTTGAATGTGCATTTATAATTAATATGGATTTATGTAATGAATTATTATATTAGACACTTACGGTGGCACACGTCGATCTCGTTCCATTTCTTTCCATATGGCCTGTAGAAGGTAGGTCTGCACTTGTTGCAATTAATGCCCTCTGTGTTATGTTGGCAGTTCTTACACACTCCTCCTCCTTCGTAACGACCGTTGATATCAAGCGACAGATGTTGCTCGTCCACCGATGGGTCATACTCGCACTCGGTCGTGTGATTGTGGCAGTTGCATGCTATATAAATAAGTCATGTATGAATCGTATCGCAACTGAGTTATATTATTTTATTGTGAAAGATATAATATACATTTGCAATGTATTTTGGTTTGGGTCAAGTCTCCCAAGATTAAGATTCACTTCACTTCGTCTGATTGAATTGAATTTGGAATAAACCTTTAGTTTTAAAGGTAATGAAGTCTTAGGCAAAGCTAGTAATGTAGTATAGCTGGATGGTATATTCTCGACTTCGATCTTAAAATGTTAGTCTATGTCACCCGCATCATATGAGGTAAGTAGCTTCTTGCAGGTGGAACAATCAAAACTTTCCTCTGTATACCTCTAATATTACGAGCTGTTTTATCGCAACTTTGCCCGCATAAATTATAACCTATGCCTACCACGTATGATGTATCTTCTTGTAGGTAAAATATTTTTTTTTAAATCGGTCAAGTCGTTTTGGAGCCTATTCGATTGCAATCAAACAAACGTTCAGACTTTTCCCATTTCTAATATTGGTATAGATAAGAATAGGGATGACGACTATTTCTTGTTTGTTTGTCCGTCAGGTAGAGTATTAAAAAATATTAAACACGTATTTTTTTTTCGTAATCATAAAATTACGGCGTTACATGGAGTTGAAATTTCGTATGACGTCACGTTATGCTACATTTTCTACTCAACTGTGACGTAGCGAGCCCCCACTCCTCAACTTTAATGCCTGTTATCTAAGCTATTTCTTGTTTAATTGAAGTAAAAAAAAACGTATCTAATATTTTTCTATTATTTGACTGACGGACTAAATGGAATTGCATTTATTTTACCCAGTCGTCATCCCTATTACATATATCTACACAAAATACATAAACAATCTAAATTTAAGATGGTCGCCGCCACAAATATGCACATTAGTTCTGAATTTTAGAAAGTACGCCTTGGCCTGTCATTTCTTCAGTAAATTTGAAGCCTTCAGTAATAGACATTTGGCAATGTTTGGTAATCATTATAGTTAGACAAAAGTTTTCATTATAGTTGAAAAATGTGTTAAAATAGTTTACATAGACATAAAAAGAAAGCATAGAAATCTAATGCAATCCATTTCTCCAAGATGCAAGTTTACATTCAAGTTAAAATTGAAGAGATTACATTATGATATAACCATGACCAACTTTTTAAACTAACGAAAAATCGAAAGGACGAGTTAATTGTCAAGAGTGAATTCATTGTGGGAACTACTCACGTTCACAATCAAATCTGTCCCAATACTGGGATATTCTCCATTTCTTTTGTTCGAATCCTGGGCAGCATTGGGCACACTGAGGACCGCATGTGTTGTGTTGACAACGGCAGACGAGGATACTCGTGTCGCTCTCTGGATCAGCAGGGTAGCAGTTGTCGGCGTGGCCGTTACACATACACCGACCACCGATACTGATGTCTTTAATACTGTAGAAATACTGGGGGGAGCAAAAATATATATAAATTAACAAACCTAGGTGCTGTGGTAAAATCGATCTAAGTTTTTTTTTATTTATTTACAATGGGCTCACTATTGACCTCAATCTAGCCTAAGGATATAGATGAGATCTACGGTGGGACGAGTAAGTTAATATCAAATAAAAGGTGTGAAGGAAATGAAATGAAGGGAAAGCTTTCGTATTTCATATCATATGATCGATACAGATATTTCAGGTGCCATTCCAGCATTTCTTTGCAAATTCGTTCTGCTTGGCAGAGTTATTTTATCCTCATTCGCTAGACTTTATCCTCATTGAAGAATATTGTTTAATATTATTAGTATATTGAAGAATAAAACTTAAGGACGTTTGTGTGGTCAAACGTAGTGTGTAGAAACTGAATTTAATTAAATTTAATTAATTATTTTTCTATATCGATGTTGACAATACTCACCCGTCTCGTAACAGTAGGATCTAGTCTGGCTACCGACATGAGGTGACCGCCTAAATTCTTGGTCCTCAATAGTCGCAGGCGTACATTGGTAGCTCGCGTCCATTCTTGCAGCACCAGCGAGCTAAAGTACTTGTTTGCTGATGGCCGGTAATTCAATAATGACACTGGAATCTGCAAATAATAGTGCCATTTACCATCACACGACCTAATATTATGAGGCTTCATCCATTTAACATGTATAACGATTTTTGCACTACCGTTAAATTTAGGAAACCATTAAGTGGCTTAAACTTAAATTCATCTTATATGCCAAACCAATTTCTAAACTATTTATTACCTCTCCGCCTTCGAGAGGCACAATCTTAGAATACTCGGTGCTGCATATAACAGAGTCGTCTTTTGTGATTGGCTGTAGACTCTCCTTGCCAAAATATCTCTCGCAGTCCCTGTAAATAAGTGCGTCTAGTGTTATGTTCAATTCACATACATACATTATTATGAACCTGTTATTCTATTCTAAAGTTGAGCAGCGAGAATTTGGAAGTGTTGGAGCAATTTTTGTAAGGGCTGGTCATGAATGAGAGACCAAAAATCAAAGAATCATGTGAAGGTTCGTTGTAGCTTTAATGAGCTAAAAATCTGTACTGGGCCTAAGAGTTTTCCTTTACTAATTGAATCAGGAACGCTTATACCCCAGCCGTGGGAAAATTAATAAGCTGATGATGAAAATAGTACAGTATCTTAGTTGGAAGATATAACATGTTGAACAAACAATGATCTCGGAAATTTGTTCCAAAACCAAAACTACATATAACTAAATTTAAATCGAAAATTATCTTTTAAATGAATCCCAGGATGATCGGCTTAATCAATGGTAATCTCTGTTTACGTTCTAATCTATGATCGGTTTCGAATAGACAGATACTCCATAAAATTTCTTTCATAAAATTAATTTCTTTCACTTACTGCGTACTCTCGGAGAAGTATTGCCATGGTTTGAATGTTTTCCCGTAGTCAGTGGACTTCTCTAAGGCCCAAAGTCCCGGTCGGGGAGAGTTGCCCATCTTCAGAAACACGTACGCGACGTGAAACTCCTGTTAAATAATAAAAAGTAACGGTAGGTACTCTTAATTATTTCGTCAAAGCACAATTTGCTTATCATTAGAGATCTGTGAAAATTTGACGGAAGATACTTCAAGTATCTTACAGAAGTTTGCTTTAGTACGGGACGGAACATCCGTCGAGCAAGGTGACAACCAATCACATCATCTATATGTTAGATTAACATCGGCTCTTAACTAGGATACAATTTTTTTTCGCACAAGTGATAATATAATTAAGTAATCTATCAAACCGGTTGCCAAGAGTTTAAAATAAACATGTTTTATCAATATTTTAGAATTGTATGTTAATTTTTAAATTAAACAATGTTTATTTAAAATTACCAACTATTTATATAGTAATAAAGAAAAAAATAAAATGAAACAAATAATCAATTATAAAAATTAAAATGGTCAAATTTTTTGTCCAACAGTATAGTTAAACTGAAATATTTGTCTCATAAATTCATTTTATTAAATATTTGTGTAATTTTTTATCGAGTCTATTATTAAAATAAACACAAATGGGACCACGTGGGTGAAGCCGCTGGCGGAAAGCTAGTTAAGTAGTATCTTTCGCAAATATTCGCATATCGCTAAAAAAACAGATATTAAAATTAAAATAAATGTACACAATTAAGAAATAATCCTATAGTTAAACAAGTGAGCACAGTATATACCAAATATACAGAGACCATTAAGGATATCATAAAAACGTAGTAACAGAATATTATATCCAAAACAGGCATTACGTTTCATGGGTTATCTTATCGCCTCAAGGGTCCTGCTCGTCGCAAAGCAATTTATTAGAAAAAATATTTTTGTATTATTATATTTGATTAATAATTTTGTATTCACAATGCTATACGGAAAAATTTTCATAATGAAAAACGCTTAATGAATCCATTTCTTCCTTGGCTCTCTGAGATGGGACTCGAACGCGCAACTTTTCGCAATCCAGACGACTGCTCTAACCATTTAGCTACCCAGGACCTAACAGGACTAACGAATCTTTCAAGCACTTGTTACTTTTCGCTACTACAGAGCGTATTTCAGCGTATATCAATGTTCAGGCAATCCACCCAAACAGCCGAAAGAAATCTTTTTTTTACAAATATTTAAACTTTCGATAAAGATGAATTCTAATATAGTATAAGAATTTTTAATGCAAAATTGATCAAATGTAATAATTAGAACTAATTTTCATCTCTATCGACGTATTATTTAATGATATATATTTATTGATTACGAAAAAAAAATGCGTGTTTAATATTCTTATCCCTACTATGTATTATATTTTATGATGGAACAAGATTTTTAAATAAATATTTTTTTAATTACTACTGCTACACTAATAAATATTATAAAGAAGAAACATTTGATTGTTTTCATTGATTATGCTCCAAAACTAAGAACCGACCGATATCAAAATTACTTTGAGGTTTTAAAGTTGAATTCGATGGCGCACCAATCAATGAACTCGATCTTGTAAGTGAAATAACTTCCGAAGGGCTCGGCATAGGATAGGTGACCAAAAATATATTATCTCATGTTCTCATAACGTATTTAAAGCTGTTGTTTCCTGGTTGCATCTGGTAGTTGTAAATATCCATTCACTTCCTATTCGATTCCATTCCTAGAAAAGGCCTGAGCCCTGGGGCCCTCTAATGGCGGTGGGGGCATTGATAAGTCGACGATGATTGTCTTGCAAACAGTAATGTAATGTTAAGAGCTTATTATTAAAAATATAGATGTGATGTTGACCTCGCCCTTAAACTAAACATAATTGTATTATCTGTCTATCTGTACACCACCGCCCACGAGATCCGGCCTGTACGCGACTATTATAATGATTATTATTTTATTCATTCAACTATTCATTCAAACTTTATGAAGATAATTTTATGAAACAAAGGCTTTATCTAACTAATTATTTTCGGCCTGTTCAGTCCATTTTCGACTGAAAGATATTGGATGATGTAACAGAACTATGTGTAACTAAACAACGGTTAAAAGTATCTTATTAGTGAGGGTATTAGAGTTTTAAGTAATTAATTTTAAGTTATACAACCGAGTCGAGTGGTTCGCCCGCCGCTTTCAAGGTGTAGCCTGAGATCTCAGAGGTTCCAGGGGTCCTCGGGTCTGGATGCGGGGACTTACACATCTCGGAATCTGAGCGATGTATCTGATGCAGTTTAATATTTTCACGCAGTGGGTTTTAACATAGATTAAAATTAATACAAGAAACATTGCGTCCTTGCGTTCATATAAAAATTTTAATTTCAATCTTCGATAAGGATGAATTTCAGTGAAATGCGCCGAAATTTTTTCGATAGTATTATATTATGTTCTGAAAATTTAAATACAAATATTTCATACTATGCGATCAACCTAAAAGTTGCCTGAAAAGCCCCTTATGAACTCTCTTCACTTTGAACTCAGCTCTTTTCCCAATAATAAATGTGTAAATTACGTTCCGTTCTAAAAAAAATGAAATATAGCAAACATCTTGTTTAGACTAATTTTGTATCATTTTGTCAATAGCAATTAAATTGTGTATGTTTATAATAATTCAATGTAGTAGTGAATAACTTTGTGGATAACTGTTATTTGCCTTACATGTCATTAATTTAAGATACCACTGTAAAATAATGAATGTTGTTATCCCGAATAAATAAATATATAATGGTAAAGATTTAATTTCGACGCGTAATACGCCTTTCTCATACGCTGGCTGGCGATTTTGTCTAGCCTTAGTTACTTTCTTGTTTCATCATTAGCTGCTGCATAGTTGCCAAAACCTAAGCCCTTGTTAAGAATCAAATGGGCCCAACTAACAACAGTCAATATCGAACCAATTTGACAATATATTTAAAATTCTCTCCATATTTATTTTTATCCTTTCCATATTTAATTATGTCTAACGCTACTCGTATATCGAGTAACAATCATATAAAACCAATTTCAAAAGTTAATGAAGATTGTATTGATTGAACCTCTATCTAGGGACATCTAATCTACTTCAAAATGGAAAAGGAGGGTTATATAACAGATTTGCAGTTTTGTTTTTAAACCAAAATAATGGAGGCATTAGACATATAACACAAATATTTATATTTATCTACTAAACGCAGGCGTCTGTTCAGCTCTTTAGGGCACTGATATAGACATTATAATGCAATGACGCATCGCAACAGTGACGTCATATAGCGATATTTTACAATAACCATAATCCTATTATTATTATAATATTATAAATGTGAAAGTTTCTTTGTTTGGATGTTTGGATTATTGGATGTTTGTACGTTAATCACGCCGAAACTACTGAACGGATTTTGATGAAATTTGGTATACAGATAGGGTGTTAGCTGACTTAGATAATAGAATACTTTTTATCCCACTAAACATTTCCCTAGGGTCCATGCGGGCGAAGCCACTGGCGATAGCTAGTAGCGAATAATTATATACCTCAGTCAAATTTCTTTTATTTTACTAAATCCTGTTGATTTGATTCTGTTTAATTCTGTTGACTGATATTCGCGGTAAAAGGTCACAATTTTTGTTTTTAATTATCTCGCTTTCTATCAATCTAATGATTTTATTATCTACTAGATTTCGCCAGCGGCTTCGCTCGCGTGGTCCCTAGGGAAATGTTATGTGGGATAAAAAGTATCCTATTATCTAAGTCAGCTAACACCCTATCTGTATACTAAATTTCATCAAAATCCGTTCAGAAGTTTCGGCGTGATTGACCGACAAACATCCAAACATCCAAACAAAGAACCTTTCACATTTATAATATCCATCACCAGCCCTTTTACGTCCCCACTGCTGGGGCTCAGGCCTTCCTTATGGATGGTTAAGGAGGATGGGCCATGACCCTCCACGCGGGCCCAATGCGGAGGGTATTAACGACTGCAAATGCAGCCGGGACCAACGGCTTAACGTGCCTTCCGAAGCACGGAGTAGCTCGAGATAATAATTTTCGATCACCCATCCCGTGACCGACCCCTGCGAAAGTTGCTTAACGACTACAATCGCGGGCCGCGGCGCTTATCCATTAAGCTACCGGCGAGCTACTCATAAAAGATTCTTATAATAAAAGACTTGAACTCGACGTCGACACCTTTACCAGGTATTCATACGATAAGCACATTAACAATACATAATATTAAATAGATGATATTTGAGATAGGTAAATGTTATGTAAGTGTGTTTAATGCTGATTAAGATAATGTTTTGCAGTAAGCAGCATAGCCATAGATAAGTGCCGGCTTGGATTTCTATTCGCTTTGCATACACATGGTGATAGTTGCTTTCGCATATCGCCGGCATTGCATTACAAATTTAATGAGTTAATGATAAAACTGCTGAGTGGTAAGTGTAAGTTTTGCGCTAACGCGTTCACTAGTGAGCGCGTTAAGAATTTGTATGGAGATTTGTAGTTCTTGATAGTTACCGCTAGGGGCGCTGTGCCGGATTCCATACTAAAATCTTAACGCGCTCACGATCGACAGTGAACGTAAACGTCAAAAAAACTTACACTAAGCGCTCTGACCGCGATGCGAAAACGACGCCGTCCTGTGAAATCGCATAGGATAAAGTTTATTCAGTGTTTGACGGACTTTAAATTTGTTCATTGGAGACGGTTCTGTAACCTTATGTATAAATAAACTTCTATTGACTCTTAATACAATCAGTTTTGTTATATTGGTCTTAAAGTCGATTCGTACACTTAAAAAATCTATTAAAGTAGGCGATAAAGTACTTCCTTCTCTGTAGTAATACTTTTTAAGGCGGATTTATTTTTCAATATTCACTTATTTATTTTTATCGGCGACTTTATAAAAGAAATCTCACGTAAGTGGTCATAAGAGAGCTGCTCTTCTATTTATTTGATATGAAAACAAAACTATCAATTAAATTAGACCCAAGTCCGAAGTAAAAGCTTTAGAATAAAAAAATCGCTATACAATTCGCAAATTGGTGAACATACAAAAAATATCAAATTGAATTTGTTATATTGAACGTCTTCTTTTTTGAAGTCGGTTAAAAACTATTGATTGCGAGATGAGTTCTTAACAAGCACAATTATGAACAGGAGCAAATCTTAGTTCCGTTTACCGAGGCATATGGCGATATATTTGCCAAATGTCAATACAAATACATTTTACTTCGATATGTTCTTGTTTCGGTTGCTTTAAGCGAACCACAAATATTTAATACTAGCTTTCGCCAGCGGCTTCGCCCGCGTGGAACCTAGGGAAAATTTTAGTGGGATAAAAAGTCTATTATCTAAGTCAGCTAATACCCTATCTGTATACCAAATTTCATCAAAATCTGTTCAGTAGTTTCGGCGTGATTGACGGACAAACATCCAAACAAAGAAACTTTCACATTCATAATATTAATAGGATTAAAAGCACAAAAACTTCCATATACAAATAATGCACCAGTTTCATAAAGCTTTCAGACGTTTAAATAATTATATTGAGCAAGAAAACTTTTATGGTACGCCATTCGGTTTCCCTAAACGCTGTTGTATAAAGGATGACGTAACATCTCTAAAGTTGATCTATAATTAATTTAATGTCCTGCCGGGGCCGACGGCCGCCGTCGAATATTTACGGAACTGGATTCGAGTCCCGACTGACGACGGCGGAGGGTGCGAGAGTGCAGTACTAATTATAGGTATGATATCCATACTCTTGGTAGAGTCAGGTTATATTGATCAAAAATGGGATTATACTATAGTCAAAAGCTTTTCAATGCTTTAAAAAGCAATAAAATAATAAGTACACTATAAAGACATATAAGCGGTTTTATAGCGTGTATTTTTCAAAGATTAATATATTTTTCAGAAACGTCAGATCGTCTGATAAATTTTTAGGCACAGCGTTCACTCGATTGAGATGTGGATCGTTTTATTTAATCATAAATCAAAGTACATAAAAGAACCAAATAAAAAAAATCGATGATTTTGATCTTATAAATAATTCTAAAATAAAAAACAATTGGTATATGTCGAGTATCAACCTTGGTGAATGATATAATAATATGTATCATATTTATATGCATAGCAGCATTCTGAACTCATTGCTAGTTCTACGCATTTATTACGTAAGACGATTTTTTTTACAGTTTTTGTTGCCATCTCTATCGGGAACGAATTTTAAGGAAAAACGAATCAAAAAAGGTTTTGTCGTATTCATAGTTTCTTTTAGATTACTGTTTGATTAATTATCGTTAATTTGAGGGTTCTTATCATCTTCTTTAAACTACCAAGGGTTGATCGATAATGTATTAATCAAATTAATACATTATCGATCAACTCCCTAAATCATTTAACATTACAAGTTCGCCCTTAAACATAATAAATAGTAACGTAAGAATTTATTAGTTACAGTTTGAGAATGATTGTGAGTTAGTGACGTACCTGCCCCAAGTCTATGGTGAGGTTAACTTCATTGTACTTCATGCCCCTTGAGAGTGGCGGGCTCTGCCACCAGGTCTCCATACCGTCCACCGCGTACTCTGGGGGGTGCTTCTTGGCATCGTTGTTGGCGTCGCAAAAGTCGCAAACCTGAGGAGATGATAAGAAATTACAACTTGATCTTTAATTTGTTATATGTCCTAATAAAGAGGAATCATTTGATTGTTTGTTGGCGTCAAAGAGGCTCTGAATCAAATGAGATGTTGGTAATACGATAGCTTTTTTGACTATTGTACTAATAGACCTTAGTCATATAGTAATTATTTTCGTATTATGATAAGTAATGATAATAAGTGTTTGTTCCTTTATTTGTTATTCTCAAGGAAATTATTAATGATATATTGACATTTCCCAACTTAATGTCTAAATCAACATTGTTAATGTTCCGATTACTAAATGATGTGTAACTAATTAGTTAATGAGAGTACGAGGGTCGTATCATTAGCAACCCTCTCGAAACATATAAATACTCATGCATAGCTCTCGAACAGTCAGTCTTTAACAAGTCTTTAACAAGTCTTTAACAAGTCTTTAACAGTCCTTAATAAGTCTTTAGTCAGTTCTCAGCAAGTACTCTTCAATAAGTTTATAGTTAAGATCATCTGTAATAAGTTGACCAAGTAAAGTCTGTGTTATTAAACGACGTGTCTCTTTCAATTGAAACCCTGAACACCTAAACAAAGCCAACCGCTCGGGCCATTACAAAAATTGGTGTCAGAAATAAGGGATTTGATCGAGATTAAACAATCCAGTCTTATAACGCGTAAAGTGAATCAAGAATTTCATCGGAAACTCAAGCAGAAGCAACTCCGATTCTTGACGCTCAACGTTCCAGACAAATCACGACGATTCCAGAGACGACGTAATATCAACGGTCTTCGTGAAATCATCACGCTGTCGTTTACGCCAACACTCTCCGGTTAAGAACTTTACAAATGGCAACCAGAGGTCTTCTATTATTGTGAGTACACCGCCTTTTCTTCATAAAACACCGTTATAAAGGATATTTCCTGATCGGTATAACTGTCAACAGCCGCCAATCTTCGAAGAAGTGATAAAATAGTGAATTTTTTTGTTAAGTGGAAGTGAAAATTATTTTATAATCATGTCTGTAAAAATTAATAACGATGAATCCACATCTGTAAGCTTCATAACCCTCGAAATGGCTGAAAGAATGTTGACTAAATTTGATGGCAATAAGGCGCGTATCCATGAATTTTTAGATAATTGTGACACTGTCAATAATCTAATAAACCCAAATTTGAAGAAAATATTACTGCAAATTATTATAACAAAAATTACTGACAACGCTAGGTCTATGATTAGAAACAGAGAATTCCAATATTGGGAAGATTTAAAAAATTATTTATTAGATACATATACGGAAAAACGAACGATAGGCCAATGGCAACTGGAACTTAGTAGTTGTAAACAAAATTATAATGAAAACGTCATACAGTATGCCAATAAAGTAGAAAATTGTTACATAAAATTAATAAACTCATTAGACGCATCTAATCAATCACCAGATGCAAGGAAGGCATGTGTAGATCTATTGAAGTCCCAAGCGTTAAGTGTTTTTATAACAGGATTAAATAAAGATTTGAATTTAATAATTAAAGCTCTCCAACCCAAAACCTTAGAGGACGCGATTTCTTTAGCTGTGATTGAAGAACAACAATTAAAAAGCAAAAACGAAATTTCCAAATTTCAAAATTTAAATATATCAAACACCAAACACTGCTATAAATGTAACAAACCTGGTCACACAGTCATCAATTGCAAGGTTCGATCATTTACAGGGCCAAATAAAAATTTCAAGTATTGTAATTATTGTAAAAAGAAAGGTCACGTTAAAGACGAATGTTATATATTAAAAAATAAAAATTCTCCCAATAATCTTAATAGTAATAATAATTTTAAAAAACAAGAATCAAATAATAAAAGTCGTTTTTTAAATAACAATGGGAACTCATCAGACTCTAATCAAAAAAACTAATTAAACCCAAAGGTGTGAGTCAACCAGAGGGTAAAACCTATATTAAAGGACTCATTACTGCAATAACTAATTGTTACTTAGTTTCGTTGAAATTGAAGGATAACAAAAATGATATTAATTTCTTAATAGATACTGGTGCAAATATTAGCCTCATAAAAGAAAAATACGTACCTAAGGAAGCCGAAGTTCATTATGACATTTTGGCAGATTTAAAGGGAATCGATAAAGTAGACAAACCGAGGAGGACCTTAGGTTATGTCGAATTGGAGTTTTTAGGTAATTTAAAGATTACACTCCATATTGTTGATAATGATTTCCCTATTGATAGTAATGGTATTATTGGAGGTGATACACTAAGAAAATTTGATGGGATAATTAATTATAGCACCAAGTCATTACAATTAAATAAAAATAATTTTGATTTATATTTTGAAAAGTGTCAAATGGAGTCAAACGATGAAATGTTGACTATTAAAGCGCGAAGCGAAAGTGTTATCCCGATACTAATAAATAATGACACACCGCTGAGTCAGGGCATTGTTCCACGCATTGAGTTAATGACAGGAGTACTTTTATGTCCTAGTCTTATCACTGTTAATGATAATAAAGGCATTACGACTGTATTGAACTCGACTGATAATGAAGTTACTTTTCCTGTACCACGTGTGAATTTAGAAGAAATTAATTTGACTATTTCTAATGAGGAAATATTTTATTTAAAAGATGATAATAAAGGAAATAAGTATGTTAATCAAAATTATGAAAGTATTCGCCTTGAAAAGTTAGAAAAGTCATTAAGGACTAAACATTTAAATAAGGAAGAAAAAGAATCTTTGATTGAATTATGTAAAGAATATAATCATATATTTCATTTAGATGGCGATAAATTAAGTTCTACAGATGTAGTTATGCACGAAATACATACAAAGACGGAAGCTCCCATAAACACTAAAAGTTATAGATATCCAGAAGCATTAAAAGAGGAAGTTAATAAACAAATAAATAAAATGTTAAAAGATGATGTCATAAAACCGTCAAGTAGTCCTTGGAACTCACCTATATGGGTGGTCCCTAAAAAATTAGATGCATCAGGACAAAAGAAGTGGAGAATCGTTGTAGACTATCGTAAGTTAAACGAGGTCAGCATCGGGGACTCTTATCCCTTGCCTCAAATAACTGAGATATTAGACCAACTAGGTCACTCTAAATATTTTACAACGTTAGATTTAGCTTCAGGTTTTCATCAAATTAAAATGCATCCTAAAGATTCGCCTAAAACAGCATTTACTGTCCCGCAAGGACATTTTGAATATAAAAGAATGCCGTTTGGACTTAAAAATGCTCCCGCAACCTTTCAAAGGTTGATGAATAACATATTAACAGGATTACAAGGTAATCGTTGCTTTGTTTACCTTGATGATGTTGTAGTACATGCGGATAATTTGGAAAATCATAATAAGAAACTACGAGAGGTATTTGAAAGATTTTCTATAAATAATTTGAAGTTGCAACCCGACAAGTGTGAATTTTTAAAAAGAGAAGTTATGTACTTAGGACATTTGATTACAGAAAATGGAGTAAAACCAGACCCAAATAAAATATCAGTTATTGAAAATTATCCTGTTCCTAAAAATGTTAAAGATATAAAAAGTTTCCTAGGGTTAGCAGGTTACTACAGAAGATTTATACCTGATTTTAGCAGTTTAACACAACCTTTAACAAAACTTCTGAGAAAAGATATTCCATTTAATTGGACAAGTTTACAACAAAATTCATTTGAAATTCTCAAGAAAAAGCTCTGTGAATCTCCAATTTTAATCTATCCAGATTTTAAAGAAACTTTTAATCTCACAACAGATGCTAGTAATTACGCCATAGGAGGAGTATTATCTCAAGGAACAATTGGGAAGGACTTACCAATTGCTTACGCCAGTAGAACTTTAAATAAAGCAGAACAGAATTATTCTACCACCGAAAAAGAGTTATTAGCGATTATATGGTGTGTAAAACATTTTAGACCATATCTATATGGCCGAAAGTTCAATATGATCACGGATCATCAACCATTAACATATCTGTTCAATTCCAAAAATGATGGTGCAAGAATTTTCAGGTGGCGATTATTACTTGAAGAATACGAATATACACCGATATATAAACCGGGCAAATTAAATACTAACGCAGATGCATTGAGTAGAATAACTCCAACTGAAGAAAATAAAGTACTAATGACAACATTGCAAGAAAATTATAAAACATTCTTAAAAGCAACTCAAAATTCCCTTATAATAAACGATAATATATCTGAAGTTAATAATGAATTAGATACGAAACATAAAAATATATTAATACCCATATCGGCAGATAAACAAATTAGTGATAGTGGTTTGAAAAAGTTAGTTAATGAGTTTGGACACTTAACCAAAATAAATAAAATTAATGTTAATGAGATTGCCGTAATACAAGAAGATGGATGTAAATTTTATTATATATGTACAAAACAAAACTATTGGGATAAATCTAGTTATGAAACTTATTTCGATTTATTAAATAATGTAAAAGAACATTTATTAAAAGATAACGAGATTGAATTACATTTAACTCGACTTGGAGATAGATATGATAATTTAAACTATAAAAAATGTAGAATTATGTTAAGATATATATTTAGGAAAACGAACATTAAAATCAATATATATAATAATACCTTAATTATACCTTCTGAAAATCAAATCAATGATATTCTAAAGGAAATGCATAGTAGTCCTATAGCAGGTCATGCAGGTTTTCATAAAACTTATAAAAGAGTGAAAGGAATATATAAATGGAAGAACATGAAAAATGACATAAAAAACTATATATCGCGATGTGAATCCTGTCAAGAAAACAAACTTATACGTAAAAAGCATAGAGAACCTATGGTCATAACAACAACAGCAAACGAAGCATTCGAGAAAATTAGTTTGGACATTGTTGGACCGTTTCCTTTAACTATAAATGGTAATAAATACATTTTAACTCTCCAAGATGATTTGACGAAATACTCGCAAGCATACGGTTTACCAGATCACACAGCAGAAACAATTGCAAA